TTTTTCCGTGAAGGATTTAAAATTTTTTAATAACTTTTTAACGAAGCCTCAATCAACAAATTGATATTCTTGATTTTCGTCTTATTTTGGCCTCTAGAATCTCTCATTACAATTTTTCCCAGGGCTGGCTGAATATCCTGTACAGAAATAGTTTTATGTATACATAAAATATGACGATATTTCAGATTACAACTCTTAAATAGGAAGAGACAGAATGAACTTTAAAAGAATTTAAAACAAATTAAAATCCACTAACATTGGATGATACATGTTTTGGCGCGTGTATCTATTCTGAAAGCGGCGGCGTTTCAATGATTTCAAGATCCCCCTTTTTTTATGAAACAGTTACGGAATACAGTTTTTATGCTCTAGCGGATGCCAAAATACGTTTTCGAAGAGTATACTGTTGCGAATTGATCGTCTGATCGGATGTTATATTTGTGTTTCGGTTCTTTTCTCAGCGGAGAGTCATGTGGGCGAAGTTTCCAAGTGACAAAGAATAGAATTCCCGCAACGGGAGGAAGTCAGACGTTTATTTGATCGAACGACAGGGTCTCGACAAAAAGCTTCTGTCTGTCAATCCCTTTTCGTCCTTGCCGTTTTCCCCATACAAAACCCTTTCTGCTTCCTTTTCACACAGCACTCGTGTGCTTTCGTCAAATTGACCAACATGAAAGCTACAGACGCGTTTCAAGTTTTGTTGTCATAATAAACCTTTGGACAAAAATAATGATTCGTAATGTTTTAAGTTTCTCCTAGAATTAAAAAAATTACACAAAATGGAACGAAAAATAATTACAGAAGTTCCTGGTTCTCAAATTATTTATAGATATGATATTTGCAATACTACCGTTCATAAGTCAAAGGACGTTTTGTTCGTTTTGGGATATGCAAATGAAGGTACAGATACAACTTTGTAAAAAGATTTTATTATCTCGTTTTCTCACGTTCAGTCATTTTAACTTTTCTATAAATTGTATAATTTGTATGAAATTAAAATAAATATGGAATGATAAAATTTAAAATTGAAGGACTCGTGGACAATATTACAGAAAGTTTTGAATGGAATTAATGAAAAGAAATACTGAAAAACGATTGTTGATTGAATCTTACCATTAATTTTAAGGATCATTTTCAAACCAATCGAAACTATTGAAAAATTTTGAATTGTTCGCTGACATTTTTGTAAAATCCATGACACACAATACGAGTTACGTTTCCATTCCGTACACTGTACTGAATTTCGATTAAACGCTGCTGGAAATTCGGTCATGCCACAAAACCTAACCGTGCCACGGTCAAAGGCAGAAACTCGTTTTATCTCGAAGCGAGCGACCATTTTAATAATTTAGAAACCGACGAAATCTCTGTTCCCGCGAAACCCGAAGCTCTTTTATTCAAATTCGTGTCGAGATGCACTTTCACGTTCGGAAGCGACCGAAAAGATGCGCGTTAAGAGGGTGTGACGAGGGCGCCAACGCCCATTTTAACAATTTCTAAAAAAAGAAAAACGATTCCTCGGCTAATACATCGCGACAGTTTCGCGTAAAATAATTTTTTTTACACGAAAACATAAAAAATACTTACGTGTTACATTGCTGTGTTACGATCTCATTGTTTCGCCATGACACATTCCACGCGAGTTACTAAACTTGGTATAGGAGCCTTATGTCGTATGTTTATAATGCTACGACCATAGCTCGCTGTAATTGCATTCTTGTGGACTTTACTTTGATCTACAAACAGCAAGTTAACCCAGAAATCCGTCTCACGAGAAAAAGTCATTACTTTGTTAATTTGTACAAGTTAATTACAGTGTTCGGTTTTGTGGAAATCTAATTTAGAGAAGCAATTCTGATACTTTACTAATATAATCTGAAATTACTTACACATTGGACTCTTCATTTTGAGCCAAAATGTTTATTCCAGAATTGTAAGGTTCTGATTTTTAATGAATATGTAGAGAACTGGGAAGGTGACAGGAAACTTTTGTACTTACAATTCAGGTTGAATGTTCTTTATTTGAGCCGTTTATTTTGAAAGTGGCCTAACTCCATTTTTCAATTTTTTCCGGTTACCATGGTTACATGTACAACTTCATGATATTTATCAGTAAAGCATTTCAGGTTGCTTATATTCCGAGCAAATACGATAATTCTTGACACATAAGTTTTCAGAGTTGGTTCAATAAAGAATTCAAGAAGACACAGCATCAAAATCATTATTTTGAAAATAAACTAGAATTTTTAGAGTCGTCCTTAATGAGCCAGGATAATTATTCTATGGAGTACCAGAAAATTTTGAAAACAAAAATTGCAACTTTGAAGTCCCGTTTCAGGAGAAGATGGCAATTAGCGAATAGACGGCACGACCTTTACGAAGAGAAAACGAAAGAATTTATGAATCTATGAATGATTCTTCATCTGATTTTTCATTCGTAATTTAAATACGTACTAAGTACATTTAATTCAATTACTCATCATTTACTTTGAAGAATCAAAGCAACAATAAACGATGATTATAATTTTTGATGATTTTAAGATTGAACGTTTCAAAATCATGTAGTCGTATCAAAAATCGACAATTGATAAAAAAAATCACACTAAATCATGGCCCATGTGTCCCATTAACTATTAGTGAATCATTATTTCATTGTGGGTATATTTGTATAAAACCACTTTTTGCCGCGTTTGGCATGCAATGGCCCCACTGTGCGACGGATAAACTGAATAGACAGACTCCCTCGGGCGATCGAGGCCCTCGCTTATACATACATATATGTATATACCCCAGGTCCCGATCGTCCTTTGGTTTTTCTTTCGCACCGGGTTGCAAAACTTCCCAGCGCGTGCCATGGAACATTCTTGGTCCTTCGAACGATGTTCCATGACACATGCAGCCGATCGATTTTTGCACCCGGCCCGAATCGGTTGTACACGGCACCGTTTCTCAAATATGCGGAACAAAAAAAATAAATCTAACGGTCTACACATAAAATAAATCTAACGGCTACAAATAATAATGATAATTAATGAATTAATGTTACTTGATACCTTATTAGTACTATCTAACGTTAGCTGATGTCTCGTTAATATTATCTAATGTTACTCGATGGCTTATTAAAATTATTCGAGGAGTTGATCGCGATTGTTTGGCGCGTTTAATGACGATCCATGACTCGAGCGATCAGTCGAGTCACCGACGGTTATGTAGATCGTTATTCCACTCGAATAATCATGCCTATAGGTAAAACGATTGTGTAACAAAAGCAAGGTACGCCTTTGAAGTGCGCGTTGGCTAACATTGGCTTTCAAGGCTTTTCTTTTATTACGCGCCATATTTTCTCCATTTTCCATTCCCAGTAATGTCCATTGCCAATTAGATATTACGAAATGAATAAACGCAGTAGGCAAACAATTTTTAAAATAAAATACAATAGCATTAAAAAAGGGGCAAAAATTGTTCGTATCATTTGCATAGTCGTAATTTAAAAATTCATAGCTGGTTTCAGTGATTCATATTTATTCAGAGTATTTGTCTGAAAAATTAAATAATGGAAAACGGTGCTGTGTCAGGATCGAAGTCTCACTTAAGCGTGTTTTGTTAACTATTTTATTTATTTACTTATGAGAAAACCAAGCACAACACGCAAAGTTTATCTAACCTCATGAGCCTATTTTACAGCGTTTCTACCGCGTTGACAAGTAAATAAAAGATACTAATCGTCTGTACGACGGACACGTTGTGCAATTTACATACGCCAGATATGCATTTGCAATTTCTTATTATTCCATCGTTGACGTAATTCTACGTTTCTCGCGTCGCAATTTTCGCAGACTCTCGTTACAAAAAACGAAGAAACCTTGGAACAGTAAAATTTCGAAAACTGCATTTCACATCGAATTATTCTCGCGGTATTTTTAACTGTTTCGTCGCGGTATCGTTTTTGACCCACATTTCTGCGTCTAGAGTAATACTCTAAGCGAATCTTGGTGCAATCTTATGCCCGGCGATATGCATTTTCACGGTTTATTTAACAGCACTCTCGTTTCAGAATAAAACTGATATTTTCCGGGAAATTGCTCGGTATCTTATTGGATCGAGCCACACCTCCGTCGATCAGAGCGCGTTGAAACTACCATCTAATAGTGATTAAATAATTGCTTTTGACGTTCCATCGTGTTTATCAATAGTTTTAATTTGTTTCGACTTCAAAAGCATCGAGCCAGCAGAGTATGAAATTTATCGGTATTTAATTAAAGTAAATGGAACTCGCCTGTTCGAATTGGGGACAGTCTTTTTCTTCGAGTGTCCTTTTCTCTTTAATTAATAGCGAGCTTAATTGCCTCGGTACGTTCGTGAAAAACAATCACGCGTTTGTTTTTAATGCACGTTTAATCAAACGAAATGAATTGTTTAATCAAGCAACGTTTTAGATTAACGAAACGGAAACAAAGATGCTTTTTGTGGCAAGTGTTAGGCAGTCTTTGCTACATTTGAACAATACCATCGAAAGCATTAAATTAATTTATTATAATCAAAGTTTGTTAAATAATAAAGGAAATACATACTGAAACGTGGACGATGATAAATTAGAAGTAAATTTGTTTCTGATTAATTCTATACAGAAATTCTAAACATTCTATCTATCCATTTTTCAAAATAGTTTTTATTTAATGCACGTTAAATTATAAAAAATTATAAAATGCCAAGTGTTCGATTATTGAATATTAATATTCTTTATACTATAGTTTTAAGGAAGTAGACTTTCCATTCATTTGGAAGTAACTGGAAATTTTAATTGCATTGTGCAAGATTTTTGATCGAAAGTTTACTTTTATTTAAAGCATTTTTTGTAATTTTTACAAAAGAACATTATTAAACTGCATAATTCTTTGCAACTAAGATTCCATGCGAATTAAAACTTTGCCCATTAAAAATGTACATAAATATGAAAATATTATTGTGAAATCTAATGTGGTACACTTTTATTGTTTCAGGCCAAACAACGTGCCTCCGTAAGATGGCTCCTGTCAAAGGCGTACAACAACCGAGTGCCAGAAAATCTTCGCGAGCCCTATTATGTCGATCATGAGGTACATAAGCTTGTGATTCTACACAGCAAGCAATACAATTGGCAATTTAATTCAAACAGCTTCCATAGCTAATCTAATAATTATTTATCTTCTCCCTGTTTCATTTTGCTAATTCATACGAGTAATTTCCATTTAACAAAATTGGGAATGTCAGTTAACTTGAAAATTCAAATATTTAAATATCCACATATTGCTATTTAAATAGTAGAATGGCTTGAAACTTGGTCCCGTGAAACTCTTCAGCGCGGGAAATATGGGAAACGATATATCTTAAAACAAAATTAATTTTGAAAGTCTTAAATTGGCAAATTTGTTCGAAACTCCAAAGTGCTGGAATTTTATCGAGTTTTTCTTTTGTCCTTCGGAGTTTTGGGATCGTCAAGTGGCATATATTTTTGAAACTATTGTGCAGCTTGGTATGAAAAAATGCGTGGCAGGCCCCGAGCGATTTAAGGATGATCCATTTCGATGAAATTCTCATTTGCCTAAGTGCGTTCGTTTCTGTCGACGAGAAGATTGCATACTCGTTTCTTCGCGCAATACCGTCGACAGAAAGTCGATGCTTAAAAGGAGGCATCCTCAGCTTTTTAAGGTATCCTGAAAACTCTTTTGTGGCGCACGTCATTATTTCGCAATGGAGAAAACCGACCTCGTCGTGAAAGGCGTACGAGAAGTTGTTGGGGCGTTTGCTCGAGAGACGCTAATAAACTTTGGCAAAAAGAAATCTGGCCAAACTTTGATAACGAACGCGCGATACTCGCGGAAACTTCCTTGAAAGGAACTGCATAGAGATTTTATGTTTAAACTCATAGAAATCCGCGATTTATTTTCATGCGGTAAATAGAGTTTCTTCAGATTATTAATTTCGTAATCGATATCGATGGTTTCATTTAGAACTTGTGCTAAAATTTTTATAAATTTAAAGATTGCACTCAAAGTTTATATGCTCTTATCAATCCTGTAAACTTTAATTTAAGAAAAGTGTTCAATACAAAAATTCCTATCGTTTAACAATCTATTTACTTGAAACAACAATGTCTTTACTTGGAACTTGTCGTGCCAAAATTTATATAAATTTAAAGATTGCACTCGAAGTTTATATACTCTTATGAATCCTGTAAACTTTTATTTTAAAAAAATGTTCAATTTAAAAATTCTTATAATTTAACAATTTAATTACTTAAAATAACTATGTCTTCGTTTGGAACCTGTCGTGCCAAAATTTGTATAAATTTAAAGATTACACTCAAAGTTTATATGCTCTTATCAATCCTGTAAACTTTCATTTAAAAAAAGCGTTCAATTAAAAAATTCCTACCATTTGATAATTTAATTATTTAAAATAATAGTTACTCCAAATGACCATTCGTTATTTCAAATAACGCTGATAGAAATGATGAAAGACCGAAGTGGATATTCCAAAGATTTGTTTCTTTTTAAAATAAAATTTGTCTGCTGTCAGGTATGTTTGACGTACCTGTATGTGTGTGAAGGCCTCGGTTGTGTGGTTGATCCAGTTAAACCAATCAAATTACACTGCTATCGGCCGCGTCCGACCTCTTTTGACTTGGCAGTAAATCACGGAGCTGCCGCGACGAATGTTCCCGTTCGGTATTTCGTTGCTCGTCGCATCGAAATGTATCTAATCGAGGACCAGTTTCCTCCGCCGTGCTCTCTAACAAACAAATTGCAAACCTGTCTATCCCGTGTTTCGAAAAGTCCGCGACGATGGCACGAGGTAAGACCCTCGAATTTCTAAAGAGTAATCAAAAGTTATTCTTGTATGACATTTTAATTATTTAACCATCAAAGGTTCAAAACGTGAAAAATTTGTGCATTTTTTAGTGCCTTCTGGTTCTAATCGTGAGTTCTCTTTTGCTTGTTCGGTAGAAGCAAATTACTTTTTCTTTTATATTCGTGAACGCTTTATTTTAAATAAATATCGAGGATGTTGAGTAACGAGTTTCACAATTGGTGAAAGTGAACGTTTATTTAATCTTCGGTGCAGCTTTAATTCGAATAACGATTCGAAAGTATTTTGTATTCAATAAATAGCTGGAAACAACTGTTGTTTCAATAGTTGTAGGTTTTTCGTTCTTAGTGTCGTAGAATAAATAGCGTGCATCATAGCTGTTTTAAATTGAATTTGTGTGGATACTGGGCGCTCTAATGTGCTAATAATACTAACGTAATAGTGTACGTCTTAAACTGTACGTTGCATATTTTTTTTTTATATGTATGTAGAACATAAGAAGTTGTATCGAGACAAATTTATAAAGAAAATGAAATTTTTCTAAGATCACGAACATCCAAGTGTGTGAAAGGCATCAGAAAATTGAAGTAAAAGTTTAAGGGAGACTTTCTTCTGATCAGAGAACGAAAATATACCGACTCGTGGTAAGACAATGGATCTCGATCACAAAAGATTTCAGTATCCTCGGTGATTGCTTAATTAGCTAGCTGGAGTTCTTCCTTCCATTAATCATTCTCTCTTGCAAGAGATGATCCTCTTCAGGAATTAGGCACCCGTAAGCGCCAGGGGAACCTTTCGTTCATTGTATCCTTTTCACACTTGAACTTTCGTTCGAATAATCAGTCTCATAGTCTTGACTTTCCCCTTAAAGTCGAAGGTGCAATCCGACGATGATTGCAATTCTTCTAAAAACAATGGAGAGTCTGGCTCGCCTCCAGGATCTTCATCATGTCGTGGCTTTCTTCGCAAAAGAGAACCCGGAGTGTCTAATTGATCGTTTACGTGTCTTTCCCCGTCATTTTTCAGTCGATTCTATTGTCTCCATAATGCATCCAACACGTCGTATTAACACTGTAATGGATTATTATTTCACAAAAATTAACTAGTTCACCAGGGCTTGAAAAAGGTTAAAAAAATAACTGTTTCAAAATCAGTGAAATGATTGTAAAAATCTGCCATTGCACGAAGTAACTGTAGTACAAGTTTATTATTTCGAAAAATAATTTCTTTCTTCTCTTGTACACTGGAAATAGGTTTACTAATAGTAACTCGTGTAAAATATTTTTTTATAAACGAACGTAAAAAATTTGATTAATGAGACGAAATCATTTTTTACAACGAGGATGATCGAGATTACGTAATTAACAATATAATTGGCAATAATGGCATCCGTGCATAATACTTTCTAGTTATTTAGTAGGAAACGATTTCCTTGTTCGTTTTCAAGAGATTTTTAATCACGGTCGGTTTTCAAGCTAGTTTTTTTATGGATCAAGAGCAGATTTAATTGGCCACTTCATATGCAACCGGTAGCCCATTTAAATGACTATATAGAAAGATTAATGTACCATAAAACCTAACGATGGCAATTATTTTTTCCGTTAGTTATTTTCCGAGGAACACAGAATTTCGCAGAGGAGATTGTAAACATTCTTCAGAGTCTGCCTTTAATTTGTGTGCTTTCAAATATTTTTTATATTGAAACTGAGCACTACTGACAATAGTATAATTTTTCAGATTCTGAACATATAAGAACATTTACTATTTCAAGAAAGGAAATCAATTTAATTAATTTCCATTCGTGAAACTTAAATGCGGAAGTAAAAGAAAAAGTTGAGAACCACTGTCTTAGCCTATTCGATAAGGCTAAAAGCTATCATGTTAGACTTTCAGGCACGTTCAGTTACAGGTGGAAGAGAAACCTAATTATTGAAAAGTAAACTGCAGTGTTTAGGCTAAGCGAGTCAAAAGTAGCCGGTTTATCACGTTCTTGTCAATTTTGCCCTAATTTTTTTGCTCAGAGACAGAGTTAGGACTTGTAAAGAGAGAAACTAGTTTTCCTGTCGCTGTAGATCCGCCTCGAGTTGTCGATTTAAGCACAACATCTATTATAATTCCCTGGGATCTGGGTAAATAAAAATTATTTTCATCGTTTCATTGGGTTTATAATGTCTTTGTCTACTGATTTATCACACTTTAAGTCAATCATGGTCTAAAGAAGTATATTATAAATAGATGCATCGAATAAAAAAGAAAAGTAGTGCCTGAATGAAAACTTTGAAATTGATTTTCTCGGAACGTCTTAATTTTTGTTGGAAAACAATTATAAATAATTGTTTTTAATTTTGGTCAGAAATTTGCGGTCTCCAGACCACTATCCATCGACGTCTCCGTGTATTTCCGTTACTCGTATCGTCTCGAGTTCTTCGCATTTCCGCCGCCGTGCCGGAAATTGCAGAATACTAATATTTGCCTGTCGCGTCTGCCGGATATTCTTACGCGGTTGCGGCCAAGGTATTGTGTTTCGAACTTGCAAGTAGATCTATTTTGACAGAATCTGGCAGAAGATTATCTAGAATTCCAATACAAAATTTCACTTTTTTTTCGACGAGCAATTATCATCGAAACAATCAAATTACTTTCTTAATTTGATAAGAGCAAAGAAATAATAAAAGTTTGGTTTACGCTTTTTACGCCAAAAAAAAACGCAATATTTGGAATAAGTGTGATCATTTGATCGCCGAAAAAGAAATAAATTTCGTTTGTATGGCCCAGTTTGATAAAAAAATGTTTCATGCAAAAGTTTCTTTCTTTTTTCCAGTAGAGAATAAGAGTCTAAAAGTAAAAATGTACTTTTGTATTGAGAATAGCAAAGTTGAACTTGAAATGATCTTTAAAATGCTTGGCAAGTAAAAGATAAACAAGAGAAGTTGTGTATTTCCCTCTTAGAATTGAAAAAACTTTCGTATTGATGAATTAGGTTTACGTGTGTTTATTAGAAGTATGCACGACGAAGTACGCGCATGGTTTACTAAAACAACCTAACAATCGGAAGTTGGAAGTCTTCGAGTCCCTCTTTCTGCTTTTCAATAGTGATTGACATATGGGAAACTCACGAGAATGTTAAGCTTGCTAGAAGTCTACCTTTAGATTTAATCTACTCCTTATACGTATAATTATATTTCTATCTTTTGATAGACAGAGACATTATATTTATCACAGAGTACATATGATAAATTAAATTAGAATCTATATTTAATAATGCCTATTTTAATTTTATCATTTAATTTACCCTTAATACGTATAATTATATTTCTATATTATGATGGCATTGTAAGATGTTTAAGGGAAGAAACCACTGTAATAGCTGAAAATGAAGGCAATTTTCAAGAATTTTTTTAGCGTAACCATGAAACTTTTTCTAATAAATATTTAATGTTTTCGAGAGTACATTTCTTGAACTACTTATTGTAAACATTTCGTATAAAAATATTAATTATTATAGCCATAATAGGAACCAGCGTGGAAAAACCTCCAAAAATTTGTTAGAAACGGCCTCACGTGTAATTTTCCACTGCAAGTTGTGAAACAAGAAATCATGCAATTTTCTTAAACTATAAGACAGTAACTTCGGTTGCATCTACGGATTTTTTAAAATAATTATTTATTATAAACTGATGGAACTGATGGAAAAATCTCAAAAAACTGCGGCAAAATCAATATTTCTTCCAACACCACGACGAAACTAATTATTCGATCGAAAATTCCGTACATGCAACTAAAGAGAATAGTATTAGGAATCACCATAAAAAATTTTAAGTAAATCGGATGAAAATTGACTGACTTATCGAGCCGCCCAGTTTGAAAAATGTGGTTTTGAGAAAAACGCGTTTAAAATTTTGCACTAAATTATCTATTAAATAACGTTGGAGTTTTTAAACTTTCTAAAGGACATCCGCTTTAGGACACTAAAACGTATCTTCTGTAAAAAGATCATCGTCATCTTCATCATTTATATCTCCTTTCTCCCTCAACCGAACGTCATGCGTCGCTGTTACGTGTTTTCGCTGAGCAGCGGAAATGCGAAACGTGTCCTGTTTGTGTCGATGTGCGTTTGCCTGTGGTCCAATTTTAATATCGGGGACCTTAATTATTTGTAATAATCCTGAATAGCCATCGTTAAATTGGATTTAAGTTGCCAGTTGGACTACTTTAGTCGTGTATCGGTACATTTCGTTCACATCACTTATCGCTCTAGACCAAATACTCTTGATTCCCATAGTTATTTCGATCAAAACACTTCTCATTCATGTGAAATCTTTATTTCAGTAAAAATAATAAAAGAGTTTTAAAGTAAAGAAGTAAAGAGCAGTTAGTTTCAAGGGTTACGCGTATTACATGCTCTACATCTACTAAATCTTTTGTAACTTTGTCATTTTTGCGAATTTTATTTTAATATTTTAGGGGGTTTTAAAACCATAAGCATTAAAAGGAGATAAAAAAAATTTCGATTTTTTCAATCCGTCACAGTGGTTTCCCTCCCTTAATCGCTTAGTTTGCATTTATCGATAACAAGTCTGTGCTTTGTTTTTTAAGGATCAAGAGCACCTGAAGCCGCAGATCGTCCACGCACTTTCCAATGCAGAACTATACTGTTTGGCATTGGCTAATATTTATTCGGATCCAAATTATCACAATCAGAATCATTGCGGTATTCTGCAGGCTCTCGCCAGAAAGGGTGTTTATCTTGCGGAGCCAAACAATACTCAACTCACCGAAACGATCCTCATTCAAAATTCACCTCTCAAGATGGTAAGTCCAATATTACGATTGTTTTTTAAAAATTTATACACATTTTACACGCCTGCCCCCGAAGCATTTAAATATCTCCAGTCACTAAGTTACCAAGCCGGGGAAAAATTTTTAACCCCTAATTGGTATTGCGTGTTTTCGAAACGTAATTATTGATCATGGGGCGTTCAAAAATATACTATTGAAAAATAAAAAACACCGACTTCCTTATAAAATAATAGCACAGTATTAATAGCGAATAAAATAAATGTGGTTTTTTGGGGTGTCAAAATTTCACCATTCAGGATGGTAATTATTTTTACGTATTGAAATATTTTTAATCCTCAAATGGGATCATCTTTCATTATTGCAGTCGAGCGTTTCCTCTGCGCTCTAAAAATATTTTTAAATATTAAACAATCAGAAGGTGTACCGATTCATTGTTATAACCCGCTTCAGACAGATCACACAATAAATTAACAAATATTGCGACGGACAATAACCATTTGTCTATACAAATGTTACTCAAACAAATGAATAATGTCAATAGGAAGTTCTGTCGTTGTTATTCGTTTCCAAAGAAAATTGATTTAGAAATAGGAGGAGGGCTGCAACCTTGGTTATGATTCCACCTTTAAATAACGTTACAGTCCGCGCATATGGCTGTGATAGAGGGCCTGATGGTCCTGTACGCGAAAGAAGTGGTGACCGGCGACCGCGTGGTCTCGGCTATTCGACGATTCGACCCCCAGGCCGACGTCGACGTCCCGACGGACCACGAAAAGGGTCTTCTCCTTTGGATAAGCCACGCGTCGCAAGCGTTGATCGCAAAAATCCAAATCGAGGAGGGGGCCGGTGATAAAACGCGACTGCCAGAGCTGCCCGCTGCCAAGGACTTCCAATCACTATGCGATGGCGTCGGTCTAGCCGCGGTCGTGGCATTTTATTGCCCCGGCGAACTGAACTGGATGGACATCCGCGTGTCGAAGAAACCGTCGGTCGCGGACGCCCTGCACAATCTCTCGTTGGTTCACACCTTTTGTAACAGATGTTTACCGTATTCCATTTTTCACACGCAACCCGAGGACGTGACGTACATGAGGGGGTAAGAATTGCCGAACTATCGGTCTTTACGAAGCATAAATTTCGTTATCGTCAACCTCTTGACGCACGATTCGATTCCTAATAATTTTTCAATCGTATACTATTCAATTTTATTGAAATTTCTTCGTACAAGAAATGGTTAAAAGAATAGATTTATTTAATCCTCAAGTGGACTCTCGATCTCAACCGAATTAATAAATGGAAATCAACTTTTCTTCGAAGCATTCAAAAAATAATGAATTAATGGAGGATTATGTAAATTTTTAAATAATGAAACTTGCGGAGGCCCCAATAATCCACTTAAGGGTTAACGAATATCTCGTGAATGCAAAAATGTGTTAATTTTAATATATAATTAAGTAATTGAACGACAAGGGGTTGATATTAGCCCTCAATTGGTGGGACCAAGTACTGTGCGTCCGCGAGAAGTTGACTAGTGAAAGGAACGCGCGTCCGATTGGTCGAAACGACGATGCACCATTGGATGAACGTGGGAATAGGCGGGGCAAGCACTTCCCTCCAAACCCTGTGCCGTCCCGTTAGCCAACTTCTCGCGCACGCAGTATACTTATCGCATAATTGCTAGGCACGATTCATGAGAAATTGAGAGAAATACGCGTTTTAAACGTTTTCTACCACGTCAAACTGAACGAAAGTTTGCGTGCCTCGTTTTACTTACAAGGGAACATCCCGAGGTGTAAATCTCCAATCTTGATGAAACTTCGCAATTTTGTAGTTCTCATAAATCTATTAGACCCGTATTTTTTTGTAGCTGCTAATATTCACTTTAGGGGGTTGAAATCAGCCCTCAAAGTTGGGGGTTCAAAACATACTTTGTTGAATATCTCGGAAACTATGAGAGATGGGGATGTGCTTTCAATTGACGAAATTAATGTTTTTAAACGGCGAATTTGATGGTGTAAAGAGATTTGCAAAACTTTTATTTGTTTAAACAATATGTTAAAAAATAGCACATTTTTTCATTTTTCTCGTTGGATATTAATGATTTTTTTTTTTCCATTTGTACAGAGAAACTACACATCCATGTACAAAATACGGATAAATTGGAATTTTGATTTTTTCACAATAATGAAAGATTTTATATTTGTAATTTTTTTCGTATTTCGATTCGTTATACGAAGTACAAGATCGCATATAATACGACAAATGCTATGGTTTAATGACTTTTGTTTAATTATATTATAGTATGCTTTGCTGGCTGATCCCAAAATGGTAAAAATTTCGGTCTAATGACAGGTATAACGTTTACCTGCGCTGCGCTGCGTACTATTTTGGGGTCAGCCAGCAAAGCATACTATAATATAACCATCCCGAGGTGTAAATTTCCAATTTTGATGAAACTTCGCAATTTTGTAGTTCTCATAAATCTATTAGACCCGTATTTCTTTGTAACTGCTAATATTCACTTTAAGGGGTTGAAGTTTTCGGTAAGGAATTTTTGTCTCGAAAGTGCGTAAGATTTCGGGGTTATGTGTAATGACCAGAAATGATTGTAATCGATCCCTGCAACCGAAAATAATTTTTTCAGAATGGTTTGAAATTTTTTAATTTTGTTGAAAAATTTCACACATTCTCGAATTTTTTTCCCAAAAGTACGTAGGATTTCGGGGGTATATGTATTGAGCAAAAATAATTGCAATTGCCCCCGCAACTGAAAATAATTTTTTTAGATCGATTTGAAATTTTTTTTTTCCGCCGAAAAATTTAGGCACCTACCTGTCGATTTTTCTTAAAAACTCGTTTTTCATTTTTAATAATTTTGTTTGACGCCCTACAGAAAAGTTGTCCAATACTTTTTTGTAGGTACCTATGAGCTCTACGTCAGAAAAAAGTTTCATTGAAATATATCCACTATTGTAAGAATTATGGCCGTTTGAAGATTGGACCATTTTTATGAGGTTTTTCTCATTTTGGGGGGTCAAGGATCAACTTTTTGAATATTTTTGCGATTTCTACGTATTCTTGATTAAAATACGCGTCGTTTGCATTTTTGAAAATTAAAATCCTTCAATCCGTTCAGAAGTTATGACATTTTAAAGATCCGCATGAAATTTTCGGGCAACATTTCTGGGCATAAATTACATTTACGATTAGGAATTTTTTTCTCGAAAGTGCGTACGATTTCAGAGGCATATGTATTCACCAAAAATGATTGCAATCGACCCCTGCAACCGAAAATAATTTTTTCAGAATGGTTTGAAATTTTTTAATTTTGTTGAAAAATTTCACACTTTCCCGATTTTTTTCTCGAAAATGGTTAGGATTTCGGGGGTATGTCTATTCATAAAAAATGATTGTAATTGACTTCCACAACCGAAAATAATGTTTTCAGAATGATTTCAAATTTTTTAATTTAATTTTTTAATAACTTTTTAATAAAGCCTCAGTTGGGCAATTGGTATTCTTGATTTTCGTCTTATTTTGGCCTCTACTATCGCTCATTAAAATTTTTACTATTAGTAGCCGAACTCCCTGTATAGTTTCAATATGATTGCAGTACTGGTCACTTGTATCCCTATCCTAATTATCGTAACCAACCAGAAACGTTTATAAAGTTCATTTTCCGAAAACAGAAGGTCTAAAAGCTGTAGAAGGACTTTCCTAACAGTTTAGGAATGTGAACCATCATGGCAGGGTTGGAACAATTGGCAGTAAAAGATCGCATCGGTCATATTTTTCTACCTCGGGCAGCAATTACGATCACTTGGAAATCAGCAAAGGTCGAAAATGAAACAGTTCTTTTCAGAGCTACCTGACGTTAAAAAATCAGAACATAAGATACAACCAACTAATATTTAAAACGACCCTCATTCAGTAAAGACTCCTTAATAAAAGTATCACACTCATAAACAGGTCCTGCAATCGTTAAGCCGAAACCTTACTTACGCTTATACGCTGCCCTTTAGTACGCAGCGCAGGTAAACGTTATACCTGTCATTAGACCGAAATTTTTACCATTTTGGGATCAGCCAGCAAAGCATACTATAATATAATTAAACAAAAGTCATTAAACCATAGCATTTGTCGTATTATATGCGATCTTGTACTTCGTATAACGAATCGAAATACGAAAAAAATTACAAATATAAAATCTTTCATTATTGTGAAAAAATCAAAATTCCAATTTATCCGTATTTTGTACATGGATGTGTAGTTTCTCTGTACAAATGGAAAAAAAAAAATCATTAATATCCAACGAGAAAAATGAAAAAATGTGCTATTTTTTAACATATTGTTTAAACAAATAAAAGTTTTGCAAATCTCTTTACACCATCAAATTCGCCGTTTAAAAACATTAATTTCGTCAATTGAAAGCACATCCGCATCTCTCATAGTTTCCGAGATATTCAACAAAGTATGTTTTGAACCCCCAACTTTGAGGGCTGATTTCAACCCCCTAAAGTGAATATAAGCAGCTACAAAAAAATACGGGTCTAATAGATTTATGAGAACTACAAAATTGCGAAGTTTCATCAAGATTGGAGATTTACACCTCGGGATGTTCCCTTGTTAGTAGAACATTTTTCTCTGACCGTGTCTCTCACGACAACCAAATTTTACGAAACAGAATTTCTGAATTCGAAGTGACTTGGCTCGTCGAAAGAATTTTAATGCGTTATTTTAATTATATTTTAATCGTCGCGAATCGAGGCGGTTGCGCCGCGTTTGGAGCTCTCGTTTAAACAAATTTCTTTGTCCAACCAGGTCTATGAAGCAAAATTTAGTCGTTTTCCTGGCGGACATGTACAACGTGTTGGAAATTCATCCTGCAAAGTGCGTACGTTACCCCGGCGAGGAGAGGGCGATGCAATTCTTAGATGGTACGATAATTATTGAACACTCGAACGACATTCTCGATTAATAGCGTCGGGGAGATTTGTTCGACACTATGAACGCACCCTTTCATCAGGAAGGGCTCACGAATATTCGTATTGGATTAATGCGATTGGTGAAGGCTGCGTACATTCTGTATTGGACTTACCCGTTCTATAATTTATTTTGTTATACTTTATTTCCATGGAATTCCGTTCCTGGCGCGGGCAACTGTTCCCCTGCAAACGCCGTTGCACTGAAAATTGTCCACCACGATTTTTAAAAACTATATATAAACTTACTAAACACAGGTGTAGGCAGGTAAAAAAGAAACTGGACAATCTTCTGTGCAAAATAGTGTAAAATCGTCTAGCGTCGTGCGAAAATCGTCGTCGGAGGAGGAACAAAGTTCAGACGAAACGTTACAAAATATTCCACGCCCACAAGAAGAATATAAAGATCGTGTAGTATATTCTAACAGAAAAATTCGAGGCAGAAGCAGATACATTATGTGAAACACGTAAAAGAAAGCCCTGGACGTTGACAAAAATATACAAAACAACTGTGAATCATATTTTCGAGTTTCTTCCGAAGTTTTCTCTGGACGATATTCATTGCGACCGACTGCGTCACATCGCGTGTCTGCGTGAATCGCCTTTCTATCGAATATTCGAGTATAAATATTCAAGTACCTGAAATTCCAAACAGAACTCGTTTTGTCAAACTGAGAAAATTCTGTTCAAATGTTTTCCAAAATCAAATGTTTAATTTTTTACTTGCATTTTCAAGTATTTGGACGCCTCCAAGTGTCGTTGACTTCCGGAAAATCGTGAGGGTGCAGGATTGCCCGCGGTTGGAACGGTATCACGCTTTTTATCAGTGTCAGTACACACACTCGTTCCCAGTCTCGAGATCCAGGTCCCTAGCAGCGACTAATAAACGCATCTGTTTTTTAATTAAGTCGAACATTTGTAAGAGTTATTAAGAATGGAGAACAATGAAAAAAAAGAAACAGCGACGATCCTCCACGTATATCACTTAATGTAAAACTGTAATATTTCCATATATTTCTATGGCGTAACCTTCTTGATGCTTGACAACAACGCTATCCTCGCCTTCTTCTTTCGTCAACTTCCGGTTGCCAATGAACGAATACGGTGCGGTGACGGGTGCAGCCTGCCCGCGCAATAGTCATGGCGTAGCTCATAAAAGAAGTCTGCCACAGTCTATAGCTCCGATACCTGATCTGAGAAGCAACCTCTCCGTATCCGCGCCAGGCTTCACAGGTACCCACACGTTACCAAACAACCAAATCATCAAAACTAGGTGGTCTTCTCTTGTGAAACGCGTGAATTTTGCAGACCGATGTGTCGTTAAAAAAAAATAAAAAAAATAAATTCATGGTCTCCCGTCGGGAGCAAGAACCTCGCAAGTTTGTCGTTCCGTTTCATGGGTGTTTTTACTTTCTTTCTTCTTTTTTCTCGTTTTCTCGTTTCTTCTCGTTTTCTTTATTTACTTTTTTTTTTCTTGGATTACTGCAATTCTAAATGTGACATGATTTTTTACTTTCGACGAACGTGATAGTTAAGATTCTTCTTTGACTTTTCCGTTTCTACGATTCGTTCTTCGCGAAGTTTTATGGCGGGCCTGACGCGATCGCTGGCGACATTGTTGATAGTCTTTCACTTGAAACAATTCCAGCGAAATCAAAGGTAAAGCTTAAAACTTCGTCGCGACACATGGAACGCTATCAACGATTTTGTTGATCAAACTAGTTGTTATACGTAATATATCCTCATGCATTTGCAATCACGTTTTAAATAGGATTGTTGACCGAACTAGTCGAGAAGAATATTTTTGAAACGCAGAAATTCTGCATTTAAAACGTGGCCCGATGTTTTAGATTAACTGTGCAAGAGAACGCAGATATTATTAGGCGCACCGCTTCTTACTAACGATATTATTTGCATAATAACGCCATGACACATAGCGATCCTTCGAATAGAATTGCATGGAAATTCCTCGTATCTTTGCTGTGCGTTTTTTCGGTTTTGGTCGATCGCACGGTGGATCAGAATTGAATTTTAGCTGTTCAGACGTTCAACTCGGTACACTTTTCAATCATTTTTTAACAAACCAGTTTTAAAAACGTAAATATATCGTTAATTTTCAATAAGTATCCTATCACAATAAACATAAACTTTCAGATAAAGCTTCATTTTCTCGGTTTAAAAAGTCTTTTAAATACTTAAATAATCTGTCGATTACTCGAGGAATTAAATTTCTTTTAAATTAAAATGTTACTCTTCATTCTGAAAGCAGCCATCGATATTTACAATGACAAATATTTCAAAACAAAAAGCAATAATAAAAGAATAGTATTATTAATAGTTATCTTTGTACGGATAATTATTTGGATTAATTCTATACTGTTTCATAGCCTGTTGAATTTGATTGTCAATTCGTTAAAATCTTGTTTGAACCGCTAAATTTCCTGGCCCGCCGTGGATCGGTTTGCAGCTTTGACGTTAGCTTTTGGTTTCTTTTGTTTTGCATGCGATTTGTCTCTTGTCTTGTATCATTCAGTGATGCAGGGTGAAGTCTGGACGATTCATTAATATATCCACTCCATATTGAGTTAGTATACTTGTTTTGCAGCGTACATTGTCTACGTTATTGCGTGTTTCGTGTTTTCGTGTTCCGTGTTTTTGTGAACCCCCCTTCCTCCATTTCTTTTTTTCCATTCTTAATGGGTTTACCAATTATTATGAGACCGTTACCACGACGATTAGAGATGCTAGACGTTAGTTTGTAGAATTAATTAACGATTTGCCCCCATCGAACGGGTGTATATTTTACGAGTGTACCATAAACACGAGCTTCTGCCCATAGATTTGTGTACCGAAGATTTGTCCGTGTCTGCGTCGAAGTTTCCGTCTCGGTGACGAATCGCGATTACACGCTTCTCTTTAAAATATTTCAACGGGCGTAGAAATCTCGCATGCAAGTCCCGTGCGATGGGAAATTATTCCTCACCGAGGAAAGAATTCTTTCGAGCCTCTATTCTCCCGTCGAAACTGATTTAGATATCGGTACTACTTTTTTCCTGGACGCGGTGCGTAAACGATCCATCCAACATTTAATTATTTTCTAGTTGCGAAAGCCTCGCCGTCACCATCTGTGAAGAAGTCGCAATCCTTACAACAGACTGCCGAAAATTATTCTCACGACGACAGGTACGTGACATTCTCATCGATATTCCTTCGAATCCGCAATGTCAATTTCCTTGCAGCGTTTCAGTGTAGTAAATTTACTTTATCCTTTCGTTTTAGTAATAGGAATTTTATAAAATCGTAATTCTTCACTCCTTTGTCATTTTGGGAACTTCCAATGTATTCCATAAAAATAAAACCTAAAAAGATCAATTGGCCCAACGAAAGCAGAGAAATAATTATTCTCGAGAATATTTCATCGTTTCTGGGCGTTCGACAACGTGTTTGATTTAGATCGTTTGACGAAACAAAAGAAAATTAAACCTGGCACACGAGTCCAATGATTTCCAATATTATCGGATCTGTGTCTCCTGATCTCCGATTACGTTCAAAGGGGAATTCAAACGTCGACTCTGTAACGATTTGAGCTGCTTTCGGTTCCAGTAAAGTCCGTCTCGTCGAATAAATAATTCAGTATTGGAAAACCACTTAAAGCCCTATTTCTTTGGATTTTTTAACAACCAGTCTGGTATTTGAGTGTCTGGAAACAATTGCCAAGTGATCTGGACGATCAAGACTAAATGTTTAATTATTTATTCGACCCAAAATTTTAAATATTCGAAAAGAGATTACTGAGAGTAAATAAGAAATATAACATCAGCTTGTGTAAACCTTTCTTCTTTTAGCCTTTTAACTTATAGCAAAGTTAGTTTGTTCCCTAGAACCTCGTAAATTACCTAGAATTCGAAATAAATGCAAATAGATTGCACCAGAAAGGAACCGTTGTTCCAGAGTCGGTAGGCGATTGCTGAAGCATTTCTCCGCGATTCCTCTAGAGAAGTCCGTTTCGTCGACTGTTTGCAGACGTACTGGTAGCGAGGAGAGTTTCGTAGTCCATCGCGGTAAAGGCATTCCTACGTTAAGCTCGGTGGCTGACGAGAAATCGTTAGCCAGAGCAGACGCCGCTGGTCGGCCAAGTAACTGGGAAGAACAGAGGAGAAGTTCTTACGCTGGCCGACGATCTAGACGCAACAGCGTCTCGGACGATTCTCAGTTGACCATAGAAAACTTTGGAGGATCTCAGGTGAGCACTCATAAAGTGTAGAAATTATTCGTTAAATCAATCTGAGGAGCACTCGAATGACGAATCCATTTTCCGCAGGATAATTTGCACAACTTCGGTAGAAATCCGGACAAGGAAGTTGGGGGTCACATAGGCAAACAGAGTGCCACCGAGCCTACTTTGCCCGCTAGATCCAGCGTTCAGGATGTTTATGGGAGCGGCGTGCAACATATACTGTCCGACAACGGTTATGGGATCGACGAGCCCCCAAGATTGAGACGGCAAGCCTCGAACTCTAGCTTGGACAACGTGGCACTCAAGCAAATTTTACATTCCAGTGAGAACGATAATTCGGAGGGTGATTCCTCTAAGCTAGCGAGCTTCGCGAATTTGAACAGGCAAAGCTCGGACAAGGGTATAAATCTGAACTATACGGAGTCCGACGATACCAATACCAAGTCGAATATTTCCAACAAGAAGCATGGACAGACTAACGGGAACGGGAACGGGGAAAAGAAAACGACGTTCGCCACTTTACCGAACACCACCACGTGGCAGCAACAGAGCAACCAGCAATCCCAGCAAGCTGAACAACACTCCGCCGGTACGTATGTCTTATTTAAGGAAGCTGTTTATGACAACGCTCTGAAACTGATGAGCCGAATGAAATTCATGCGAGCAGATGAAAACGGTGGTAACACGTTTATGGCCTCACAACTGAATAATATTAGATTGAAGCTGGAAGAGAAACGTCGTCACATAGAGAACGAGAAGAGGAGAATGGAGGTTGTTATGTCGAAACAGCGTCAGAAAGTGGGCAAAGCTGCATTCTTGCAAGCTGTTACAAAGGTAACCACGACGATTCCGTTACAAATTTTACTACCATGGAATTCGAATTTCCCATTTCATAAGCGTCTTTCAGCCAGATTATCCCCCACCATGGCCATTTTAATGATTTGTTTCCTCTGTTGAAAATGCATTAAAACTAATTTTTTTTTAAATATACTAGGGGCCACTGGCAGTTCCTTACAATATACCAGTTATAGTTTTATCGTTCTTGATGTTGGATTTACGGGACTCGTCAATTTCACCGTACTTTAATTCACGGAACGCATAAATATTTTTAACAATTTACGTTGAATTAGTGACGCGAACAGAGGCGGATTTAGGTATGGGCCGAGTAGTCAATAAAAGATCTTGGCTTTTGGGAAATATTTCAAGTACATTATTTTAAATGCATAACATCTAAATACAGAGATTAATTACGTGGAACATTTAAAAACAATTTTTATTAATCAGTAATCTACTATTTAGGCTCCTGAACACATTAAATGTAATAAATATTTGCGTTAATAACACTATTTGCACACTTTCTGTTATTCCTATACAGGGTGTTTCGCCACCCTGAGAAGAATTTTAATAGGAGATTCTAGAGGCCAAAATAAGACGAAAATCAAGGATACTAATTTGTTGGTTGAGACTTCGTTAAAAAGTTATAAAAACATTTCCGGTCACACAGTATATCTTCGGTAAAGAATTTTTTTCCCGAAAGTGCGTAGGATTTCAAGGGTATATGTATTCACAAAAATGATTGTAATTGACCCCTGCAATTGAAAATAATTTTTCCAGAACGATTTGAAATTTTTTAATTTCGCCGAAATATTTCAGCAGCCTCTGTCGATTTTTTTTTTTAAATTCGTTTTTGATTTTTAATAATTTTGTTTGACGCCGTATAGAAAAGTTGTCTAATACTTTTTTGTAAGTACCCATGAGCTCTATTTCAGAAAAAAGTTTCATTGAAATATATTCACTATTGTGGGAGTTATGGCTGTTTGAAAATTGAATCATTTTTGTGGGGGTTTTCTCACTTTACGGGGTTAAGAAACAACTTTTTCAATATTATTCGAATTTCTACATATTCTTCGCTAAAATACGCGTCATTTGCATTGAAATCCCCCAATCCGTTCAAAAGTTATGACGTTTTAAAGATACGCATGAAATTTTAGAGTGACATTTCTAGCCTGGAATTATATTTTCGGCAAGGAATTATTTTCTCGAAAATGGTTAGGATTTCGGGGGTATGTCTATTCATAAAAAAGGATTGTAATTAACCCCTGCAACTAAAAATAATTTTTTTAGAACGATTTGAAATTTTTTAATTTAATTTTGTAATAACTTTTTAACGAAGCCTCAATCAAGAAATTGATATTCTTGATCTTCGTTTAATTTGGCCTCTAGAATCTCCCATTAAAATTTGTCCCACGGGTGGCCGGACACCCTGTATATTATTCAATTTACTATTAATCGACCTGACAAATGAAGAACCTAAGATGAATTAAAATAATTTTTGTTAAAGTTTCCTAGGTTTTTGAACAAAATTTCAAGGATTTTAAAGCATTTTCCTTCCATAAAATTCGCCTCTGGGATATGAATATGCATCTAATTAAAATAAAAACGCAATTCGGACGTAACCGTCGACGAGTTTCGATAAAAATATGTGAAATTTCTATTTTTCTCGTACGCGAATGCGAGGAAAAAAGATACAGGATTTCTTGAAACGAAACAGAACATTGAATACAGCCATGAGAGTTTGAAATTTAGCCACGGGTGTTTAGTATAGAGCAATGCATAATTGTTATTCTATATCGGGCACCGAGCAGTTTCTTTTTCTTCTGCAATAAAATATTGTTTAAATTCTCTTGCCGTTCGATATTTATCCCATACTTGCATATATATATTTCGTTTAATTTTTTATCTGGCTGTTTTACTATATACCATTATTTTTCGAGTAGCTTGCAAGCGAGCTTAGAATAATAATTTTTCATTTCAGGTAAACGCAGCATCTTTTTTCAATACCTATTCACTTTTCTACTCTTACATATAATTAGTTTATCGAGTAATAAATTTGTGCGTAGTTGCAAATGCGACGTAATGTCGATGCCTATCATGGTTAACGCAGATAATCTTTGTTGCCAGCAATATTATTGAAATACGTATTTCTTTCTCACCTTTCAGCTGTACTTAATGGTAAGTGCATGCTGATTCGATAACACTATATTACTACAGAATGACAAAATTCTATGTAGGCACTTTGTACAATAAAATAGACTATTAACTACTTGAATGCCACTTTTTTTCTGCTTTATACGTTTTCACACACAGTTACATTAATATTCGGACGCAGTACTCTATTTGTTGCTTTGTATAGAATTTACATACATTGCTCATTCTACGCAAAAATAAATCATTTATTCTAGATTAAACAACAATGCACGAACTGTTTCTAAGAATAAATGGTGTATATATTTGCAGAGAAAGCAGAATACGTAAATCATACTCTCATATGCAGAGCAACAAATATAGAATATTTGCGTTCAAATATGAATGCGAGCGACTGTAGATGGTTTCTACGTAAATAAAAGTCTGTATATTAAATAAAAAAAAAGTGTTGAAATTAATCTGGTGGTGGTGTGCATGCTTGGCATTAGTTATTGGCAACTTTTCAGAAAGATTATGTTGAAGTATGTAGTAATTAGAAAGAATTACTAACAGTCGGATACGTTGTTCTGTACAAGAGAACTTGGAGTGTAACAAAAGTATTGTAGTCCGTTTGCGAAATTGTCAAATCGTCGAATAGATGTTCACATTTTTCGCTTTAGTCGAGAACATATTCTGCACTGTGAGATTTACATATTTCGCGTACCGCCGAGAGGAAAACGATGCGGAAATACAGCCCATTGGCAATGAAGTATATGCAAGTTGAATTGGCTTTGGCATTTAGAGCTTGAACGTAGCGTTTAATTTCGCTGTGGAGACACTCCGACCATGATGTGGTGGTTGGTGACATATTGGACTCGGCATATGCGGACTCCAAGTACTTAACAAGGCACGGTGCTTGGGCTGGTTGCAGGGTAAGGTTAAATCTCCCTCTTCGTCAACGTCTGGGGGGGACAGTCCTGCCGAAATTGGTCCCCCCACTCCTGTAACCTCCGGATCTTCGGGGGAGACCCCGTCAAGCGTTTCCGAGACGACCCCCGTACCCCAACAAACCTTTCAAGAAAAACCACAGAGACCCTTCTCGCTCAAGGTACGATATCACAAAACAGCCTTCCCGTAGATGAACAATTTTTCTTTTTTTTTTCTTTTTTTAAATTTGCTTATATATGGCTTTCAGACATTTACTTTTTTATCTTTGTACCTTTGCTGTTCGTGGCGCGAAACGAACAGAGCAGAACGGTTTTCATATTAGTATACGAGAACATTTGAGAAATAATACGCTATATAATACGCTGCAAGTAAGATAGACGACTATGTGCTTTACATAATTTTTTGTTTCTCGTTAGTGGACAATCACAGTTTCTAACAACGAATGATTTTATTCGCTTTTTGTCGCTTACGTTTTAGCCATAGAGGAAAACGAAACAGTCCCAATGCATTCTGTGGTATTCGATAAACGTTCCCGTTTCGATGAAGTTTGCAAAATATGTCGTCCTCGGAATGCATGGTACAGTACTAAACACTCCCTGGATAGGAATGAACAAAAAAAAAATCTGACATTTTCTTTACGATTCTTGTTTTTTGCGGTGATGGTACTTTTTCTCTTGCCTTCTAAACTTTGGCACAAAACGTTAACAAAACCACTCTTATATCTCATGTATACTTTTAAATGGATTTACTTAACATTTTACGTGTATATATTCCCCCTGAGCAGTTCATTAATACTTACGATTCTTAATATTTCTATACACAAAGTTTTTAGATTCTCCGCAAATACCAGGGCACTATGTCACCGAGCATAGGGGATCCTAAAATCAGACGATCACCTAAAATATTCTATTATTTCACACGCATTAGACATGTAATTAATTGTATATCTACAGGTAATATTCTAAGTTAGAAATTCTATTTGTTCGTGTATCGCATAATGTTCAACAATATACGTATAATAGAAGGCATGATGTAGTAAACAATCGTACGGTTAAACTTGCCTGTAGATGTATAATACATTGTATCGATAACGTTAATGAAAATTTTGTGACTAGTTTTGTGAATAATTTCCCGTAATTGTACCGATGATATAGGAAATTAGTGAGGATGTTCGGGACGTTGAGCATAAGTGGTTGGAGCACGATGGTAATGCACCGTTTATTGAAACGAGACGTACTCCAGACATTGAGAATATGGATCTTGACCAATACCATCAGTCCATATCACAGTCAGTATTTAAATCGACGCAAAAACAGTTATCGAAACATTTAGTTTCTGGGATTCGTTCGAGCGGATACTCATAATATCCTTTCGCAGGATGAATAGCAGTCTTAGCGAAATACAAGCCGATATACAACGTTTAGCAAATCAACAAAATCAGATACAACAGCAACATTTAATGACACACCATCAGCAACAAATGCAACATCAATTGCAACAGTTACAGAGTCTCAGTCAACAACACATGCAAGTGCGTGTATTTTATTTAATATCGTATCGTGTTTTGTATTTCCTAATATCTGGTTGCTTCGTTTCATTGTTTAGAGTTATGGAATGACGCCTATAAGTACATTAACCCCAAAGTTGCAAGATTCCCAACAGTCTCAGTTTTATTTACACGACCAACCGCAACTGCAAAGACGAATGTGGGGTCAGCCGCCTCCCACGCAAAGTTTGGCAAACGAAATGGCCGCGGTTGGGTACCAGCAACAAATTGATACGAGATATAGTTCTCCGTCGCCAGGTGAATATGGACGTTCGTTTTCGTTCAAATTTAATACAGATTTATAAATGTTTACTTTTTGAAATACATTCTTATAGTTTATCATCAAGATTTGCGCTTGTATCAAGACACACGGAATTGGGGATCGCACCCACCTCAACAGAAAGGGTTCGTTTTGCACGATACTTCCCAAGAACCGAGGTACCTTAATGGCGGGGATCATAGTCTTTGTAATAATCAAATGAGTCATCCTGGTTCCACATATCCCACATCTTCGTCTATCTTTAATCAAACTCCACCGTCTTCTGCTAGTCCACAACATCGTAATGCTGTGAGTAATTTTTTATATACGTAGTAAATTATTAAAATATTTATATTCTGATTCGTCTGGGTTCGTCTCGTACGTTCGAAATTTAAGGAAAAGGAACTACAAATGTTATTTATTTTTACTAAATTACTCACCTTTAGCATGGAGGAACTTGAAAATATTTACACGTATTTCGTATTCAATGAACTCGAACTGTTAAACGAACTCGTGTTTAACAGCTGACTTAGGAATGGGAGAGGCAATTCACCGATCGTTGAAAATCATACGTTCCACAGGTTTCCTACCAGAGATGATTGCATAGTTTTTTGTTTTTTGGTCACATAAGTACCGAATGTATTACTTCATACATATAAGTATCCAACGGTGATGGAACCAGTTAGTGATGTAATGTACATTTATAGATACTCTTAACAGTCAGTATGGCAGACATTGTCCGTATCGAAGCGTCACGTTCGGGCGCTCATACTTCTCGCGTATTATTCTCAACGAGGTGTTCGAAAATATTAACAATATGCGTTTTTTCTACTCGTCTACCACCACTAACTCGTATAATTACTCTTACGAGGTTTGTTTCTATACATATAATCTACCAGTGAGTGTATTATTAAGACAGTGTTTACAATGTGATACTCGTCAGTGAAGATATAATTCATTCTGATGGATAAATTTTCTTGTACAGCATTAAGTCACGTATAAAATTTTCATTCAGGTTCATCGAATAAGTCAGTTAATGAGCGAGAGCCCCGAACCAAAAAGGCCGACTGTACACCACATACCGATTAAATGCGAAAGTCCAATCGAAAAGAGGCAAGTTACTGCGTTGCACGCGCCCGTTCCAGCTCCACCCGTCGACGATATGAAACCTCAAAATATTTCGTTTATTGGTAAATACATTTCTTGAGCAATTAAAAATGTTTACATAAGATTTGCGTGGACATCCTGTTACGATTTCATCACCGCTGCGTATGTTTTAAAGGAAACGACGATGAGCTTTCACAAGGCATAAGAGGTTTACACATCACGTCTGGCAACCGTACATATAGAATTCCATCGCCGACTAGACCTTCTATATCACGTAATTCGTTTCAACCCCATCCATCGTTAAGAGAAGCCACACCATCTCCGTCTGGTACACCGGAAGTTACGCCCCTCGATCCAACCGACGCCGGGGAAAAAGGATTTTACATTTGCTTCGACAACGACGCGCCGAAGAAGCCGAAACCCACTCTCAAAGTGAAAAGAACATCTCCCAAGAAGGTAACGAACCAAGCCCCCAAATTAATATTCTATCGAACGTTCGAGTTTCCACATGCTCGTCTATCGCGAAATATTTCGTACCGCCGAGAAACCCTAAAATTTATCCCCAGGAACGAACAGTATCCTCCTACATCGACAACGAAGATTTCATGGTACGTTCCGAATCCCCGTCCACCATCACTGACAGAAAGCTCCTGGAAGCTAGGCGGGATTCGGATCGAGAGAAGCAGCGTCAGCTAGACGAAAGGGAATATCATCGACAAGAAATGAGAGATAAGGAGTTGCAAAGAGAGGGGGAAAGAGAGAAGCAAAGAGAGCGACGCGATGCTAGCGCGGAGAGTCGACAATCCGGAGTCGGACTAATAATTGGAAATCAGCTCGCGAATCCTGATCCAGTAAGTTTCTATGGAAGTCAGAAGTTGGACGAACGAGTATTCTTTAAATTTGCTTTGTAGAATTCCTTGGACGAAATGGAGCGAAAGAAAGAGCGCATAATGCTGCTGTCGTTGCAAAGAAGGCAACAGCAAGAGGAAATGAAAGAGAGGAAAGAAGCAGAGGCACAAGCGCGCAGGGAACAAGAGAAAATGAAAGCGGAGGAAAGAGCTCGTAAAAAGGAAGAGGAAAGACAACGAAGAGCATCTATTTTAGAGCAACATAAAGTTAAGAAGGCAATAGAAGAGGCAGAGAGAGAAGTGGGTATCTCGAGTATGCTATTTGCTTCAGTTAAATTAATCATTGCACACTGCGTTTAGGGCAAGGTTATCGATAAGGAGCTTCTAAATGCAATAAAGCCAACAAAACTGCGTAATAAGACTGCAACGACCCGGCCACGACCCAAGACGATTCACGTGGACGCTGGCGCCGAGTTGGACTCCGGGGCACTGACGCCCAGTCGCGGGAAAAAGGGATCTTCTTCTAACCTAAGCACAGGTATGACAGTGGATGCGATACGGTTCAGTAGTGTAACAATTATCGTTGCAATGATCAGTGTTTCTTGGAGATTAATCGTACACAACAAAATGATTGTCTAGAATTCGTGTTAAAAGTAAAAACCGTTATCTCCAAGATAACAAATACCAATGCTAACAAGTGTACTCCTTTGTTATAATATTCTAATAGTTTCTCAATGTTGTAATGTAATTGCATACATCTTTGCATGGCGAAGGTTCGAGTCGGAAAAGTTTTCTTTTTTCCCTTTTAGTAATGCCGTCTTTCCATACTGATTTTCGTTGTTATTTTTCTTTTTTTTTTTTTTATGATATCTCACCCAATCACAATTCACAAGCTCCAGATTTTCTCACCTATGCTAGTTTATGCCCTCGGCTGTCCAAAAGCAGTTAACGAGTCGTGACAGTCACACGTTCTTAGATTTATTTGAATAAACTAGAATAGCGAAGAAATTTCGAGCTGATTGTTTTGCACTAACACACTTACTGTAGCGTCGCTGACCTCCCCGACGATGAGGCGAGACTACTACCGAGGCTCGCAGGACAGTCTTACTGCTGCCCATTTTGATGACCGACGTTCCGGCCCTCTTTATCGGGGCGGCAGTCTCAGGGGTACGCACAACACACATTCTCTGACTCGCATTTTACCTGCAACACCACACACACACATACGCATATACACAGGCATGTGAGATTCTTCACTAGAAAACAATAACAAAAGTTCGTATAAACATGTGTTCTATTTTTTTCAACACATTGCACCCTTCACAATATGTAGATGATCAAAATAACCTCTGAACATAAGCCTGGGGGAAACCTACTATTCGCTGCCTTATCCCATCTGGTTGTCAAGATATTATTTATAATAATATACCATTTATTGACACCTAGTATTCTAATGTTCACAGAATTAAAATACAAGATTCAACGCCAGATACTGGACTTTAATATTCTTATCTTAAGACACACGTTTATACGAATTTTTGTTACTATTTTCCTGTGTAGAACCTATGATGACATCTTGTTTATGCGTGTACGCGTGTGTGTATTAGCATACGAAATGCTAACCGAGTTATAAAACTAAGATTATTAATCGTTTTTTCTATAACTATTAACATGCTGATTTGAAGTTTTTCGCTTATACTTGCCGCTTAACGACGAAGTTAAAAAGATCCGCGAATTGATTTCTTGTATTGTTTTCACTTGACCGAAGAAAGCGCGATATACATATATTGTATGGAAGTCTGTGCAAATTATTTTAACGTAGAAATGATTTTGATCTAGCACTTGCCCCTTCGTACAATTCTGCATGCTCAAATTTATTTTTTATATCTGTGAATTAGTGTAATGTCGTAGCAAAAAAAAAATGTCTTAAATAATATCTAGTATCAACCTGGGGAGGAACTAATTGATTGTAATAGAGGTACCCTATTTTAGTATCTTCCGTAGATTCGCCCGACGACGGTAGAGGATCCTCGCCTTGTCGAAGCATGAATCAACTCGGTCGACGCGGTTCCTACAAGACATCCAGAGGTGGGTTGATTATTATTGTTCAAAAGAATGCCATATAATGTTCCTTAAACGTTTGGCTTGATGAAAGTAGACTCGTTGCAGGATGTATCACTGGTATGGGCAGCTACGTATGAATCTTACAATGTTGAATATTTCATTAGCGTTTGATTATTCTCCAAATACCCGAAGTAAGGGGGTATGACTTTATTTGAGGGTATGAGTTTATTTTTAAGTAGCGCCTTATAGTAGATATCTTTCAGTTGGAACGCAACATTTTTCTGCACCAACCTGCACCGGCTACCTTGAGTTTTTGATGTTCCTAGTGGACATGGCTCGTAGTTAGACTCTGCCCCTGATGCAATGACGTACGATTGAAGCATCCCCTACTATTAATCTTTGATCGTACATAGCGTTTGGAATGTAACAAGGTAAACATTGCATTATTGCAGATGTGCAGGAGCCTCAGCAACAGGTTAGAGGCAGGCCTAAATATCCGAGTTACCAAAACTTTAAGGGGAGAAAGTCTAATTCCTTGATGAATTTGTGTGGTAAGAAGCACCAGTGACTTGGAATACGTTTATCCCCCCTCTGCCGTGCAACAATATTACGTGTCCTGTACACCGTTCCAATTTTTCCTAGGCTATAGCATACACGTAGTCGCATGGTGGCAGATCGGAGCACAGGTGGCAGTGAATTTACACGCACACAAACAGCACATTATTTATTTCGAAATTCTGTCTACCACGTTCGTAATCCATACATACACTAGAAGTCGGATAAATGCCCCGAGCCAAGCACTTATGGAGTAGAAGATCGATTCTAATTACAGAATCAAGGGGAATCTTCTCTGAATAGTGGGGATGAGTAACGGGTACTTATGGCATAAATCAGTTTAGACATTTATGAAAATTGAGACCCCAAGTCGAGCATTCATGCTGTAGAGGATCGATTCTAGTTGTAGAATCAAGGGGAATCTTTTCTCAATAGTGGGGATGAGTAACGGGCACTTATGGCATAAACCAGTTTAGACATTTATGAAAATTGAGACTCCAAGTCGTGCACTTGTGGAGTAGAAGATTGATTCTAATTGTAGAGTAAAGGGGAATCTCCACTCAGTGGTGGGGATGACTAACGGGCACTTATCCAACTTGTACTGTACTCAGAAAATGATGAGGTTCAATTGCTCTATTATGTTTATTGTACCATTTCTGTAACGTACGCGGCAGATTCTATCGAGTCAGATGGAATTTCGACTCTCATTCACAGGATAACTCATTCACTGCAGTAGATACGATTCAGTTGACGCTTGTTGGGCTTACTGTTATACAGCACTGGTTCTGGGTACCGATATATTTAGTGTTTTTCAGATTATTGTTGGTGGTTCCAGTTTCCGTTTAATAACCTTTCACTCTGACTCACATCTAGGTCCTGTATCATACGGTTATCCTATCACTTACGTTAAATATGTATTTGTTCTGTCATTCCTCTCTGTTTTTATTTCCAGGTATTATGGTAAAATGACACGGCAAATTCATCTAAAATGATTCGTTCTAAATTATAATTATTGCATGTATCGCACGCATATCGTCACATTTAACGAACTCTATGATTATCGGATGAATTTGTCGTCTGTCATTTGTCTGACTTAAGATCGCAGTATTTGTCACTAGCAGTACGTTTCGTTACGAGCGAATTTATCCATTGTTCCTGGTCGCGCGTTATGATATTGTAGAACAATAGAACCAGTTATAAAGTTATTAAAATCGTCTCGTGTCTTCGTTATCAATTATTCCCGGCAAATAGTTCCTTAGATCATCTTAGAATCGCAAGAAGCTTCTCTCTGTTTAACGATAAAATAGACAAGCAGATAGTATGAGAATACAAATATTTTGAATTCGTTTATTGGACGCAAGCTATGAAGATGGATATTCTTGAAGGTCTTTCGTAAGTCTAACAAGTGACTAATATCTCTCGGTATTATCAGGAACTAACCGTTAGTAATTAATACAAGTTACTTTTGTTCGGATTCCTCTTGCTTGGATGGGTAAACGTTACAAGACCGACTATCGAATGTCGTACTGTCCTTTATCGTGAACGGACACGTATGTTTGGACACTTTTTCTTATTTCTATCTTCATATACCGAGCTTGCGTTCGCAGGTTCGAGTAGTGATCAAGACGGTATGATGTGTCGATACACAGATACGGATAGCGGTCTGGGCAGAGCAACGCCTCCGAGGAGAGCTCCGAGTCCCGGAATGGGCAGCATGAGGCATCTTCCATCCCCGTCGGGCCCTGGCTCCTTACCTCCCGGTTTGATGACGAAGAGAAGAGTATTCGACGACGGCAGCAGCGACATCAGCAGCACGCCCAGTTCGATGATGGACTATAACGGTATGCAAAATTAATTAGAATAATTATTCTGGCTGGGATATTCGACCTAAACGATTCCCTTATTTTCAGGGATACGTCTCAAATTCTTTATAGCTATTATAAAACACTATTATAAGACACCGTCTAACGTCTGTTATAATTTTTCTTTTGCAGGTCCAAGATTGTATAAGCAGCCAACGACAAAATCGAATCGTGGTATCATGTTAAATGCTGTGGAATATTGTGTGTTTCCGGGCACGGTAAACAAAGAGGCGAAAAGGAGAGTTTTAGATGAAATCGCGAGATCGGAAAGCAAGCACTTCCTTATTTTATTTCGAGATGCTGGCTGCCAATTCCGAGCTCTCTACTCATACTGCCCCGACAGAGAAGAAGTATCGAAATTATACGGCACCGGGCCGAAACAAGTCATCGATAAAATGTTCGACAAATTTTTCAAGTAAGTTCGCCATTCTCCTATTTTTATTATCCTATTCTTTCTCGTAATTTATAAATCTACCCAGATGGTTTGGGTACACTTTGCATCGTTTGAATAACGAAGGCATCATAATTGATTAATTATTAATAAGGTGAAACGTTTTACATGACGTTTATTTCTCCTTAGATACAATTCGGGAGGAAAATGCTTTTCACAAGTTCATACAAAGCATCTGACTGTAACCATAGATGCCTTTACAATACATAATAGTCTTTGGCAAGGGAAAAAAGTGAATTTGCCGAACAAGAAAGACATGCCTCTCGTCATATAGTTTTACACAAGTGTCACACTTAACATTATGCTACTCTATGCCCTCTGTTGTTCATAGTTACTATTTTAATACAGGCCCATATTAAATTAATGCAAACGTTGCGTTCTTAGTCAATTTTATAAGGACAAATGATTGATGCTGACTCGCGAATTTAAGTACTCTCATTAAATATGATTATACGGTTACAATTAAACGGAGCATTGTTACCATACGTTTCCCTTTAATTTGTCTTCTGTTTTCTTCCCCCCTCCCCTCTCCCCCTTTTTTAAGTTAACGTTGGCATCAATCACTGTGCCGTAAGATTACCAATATCTACCATAGGAACGGTTTGTTGTCAGTATCTAATATCTTTGCGGACTAACTTTCGACGTGTAACCGCCTTGTAATCATGTAAGCTGCTGTGTTGTAAATGAAAGATGTGACTGATTATATTATATTATATTTCTTATATTCTTTTTTTTTCGCTATGAGAGGCAGGGCTTTCATGAATGTTACGTAATTCGCACACGCGTTAATTAAAAAATTTCTTAATTATTATTATCGTAGTTGTCTTTTATCGATCGATCGCCAAACGCAAACGGAGGATCGTTTCTGACAGAGTGAAAGATTTAAATATTCGATGCGATTTTTCTATTTCATTAATTTCTAATAGAACAGCGAATAGCAAAAAATTCGCTGTGCGTTAAATTTTCTGCTTTAGCATCGTAAGTTCTACGGTTTTTTATTAAATTTTTTCAAGCTCAAAATTATTTTGAATTCCTTGAATTGTAGTGTGTGTCACTGTCGCTATGTAAGGCTAATTAATGATTCCTCGTAACTGTTGACAGTTGCAACAGAATATACAGGCTCGGAGCAAACTATAGGTAAGAACTTAGGGATCAGTGGAGCACAGTAGGAGAAACGAAAACGCCATAATAAACATATTAGCAAAAAATTCGTTGTGAACGATAATTGTGAACTGTGATTGGACAAATTTCTTTGTTAAATCTGGTTTTGGAGGTTATGGAAATTAATTCGTATTGTAAACTATTACAGATATATATATCTATATCCATTTTAAAATTAATCGATACGTCGAATTTTCGAGGTTAGATTGTCTAGAAAAAATTTAAATAATACGGAATAAAACTCCAGTACTCAAACAGTATTAATCCAACTATTAACCAGAACTGTTGCCTTCGAAATTAGAAAACAGAATGTGTTCGAAACGATATTTTTTAAAAATCGTTTGGTGCCGTCTGACGACTTCTATCAACCCTAAAATTTGAACCTATAGTTTCTCTACATCCTGAATAGTGTAATTCGTCGAGTAAGAAGAACCAGCTCACGGACAAAAGTGGATATGTACATAAATAAGTTGATTTTGATTAGTGGAAGAGAATACCAAATCAGCCTTAAGATCAATCCGAATGTAATCGATGTGCGAGGATGATTTTCTTTTTTTTTTATTACTGTGTAGGTACGTGATAATTTATAATACGCTGCGTTGATTTCAATTGTTTGAGTTTTGTGAAGCGTGAATATAGAAATCGCAAGGATTTGAGAGGAGAGAATGGGACCGTACCAAACAGTACCAAAATTAAAATCTCCGAGGGAAAGATATTGTCGAGGAGCGTAAATATGGCAACTGGTGTGAGATTTTCGATCGAATTGTTCTATTTCCTGCGCGCATTACATACTTATCTTTTTGTGACATACGAGACCGTACGAAATCTTGTATCGTTTTCTGTTTGTAAGAGGAAAGCAGATGGCATGGAATTTACACCGTTAAATTTCCCGGGCCTAAAATGCGATTTTAATCAAACGTGTCTGCATTCCTCGCAACCCCTGGCGGCGTGTTAGCAATTTATTTATGAACGTCTTAGCGTAAATTTTAACGAAGCGGACTAAAGTCTGACCGGTTTGATGAGTTGGGCAGTCCCCTTTACGAGTTTTGACGGCAGCATGGATTTATTTTCAGATGTAAATTGCTCCCTTTTAGTATGGTTCTTATTTCCTAATGGAACGTGTCAGTCCAATTTCAAGCGAACGTAATAATGCGGCCCCCGTACTGTACATGATGAATAATTAGCATAATAATGTAACGGAAGAACTATTTATTGTGCCATAAATTTAATGTCCGCCCTTCGTGTGGGATTGGCACTGACCTTCCATCTTGACAATTCGATCTTTTTAACGTATATACAATTCGTTTGTCGTAATATGCTAATAGGACGAATGGATAGTAATAGATAGAAATACATTTTTGTACAGAAATATGGAGGGTCTGTCCATTGTAGAATTTTCATTCTGTTCGTTCGTTTAATTAAGTTATATCGTAAGGTTTAATAATTTTCGTATTTTATCTTGGCGGGCATGTGCATGGAATTTCGAGCAATGATGTTAAAGAGAAAAAAAATAACGAAAAAGAAAAAAAAGAATCGGTTCACTTTAGACCCCCTATATTCTGCAATGGCGTAACACACAACCGTATTGATTATTACTAAGTAATTAACATATCGAATTTCATGTTCTCCATGATTAATCGCGGAAAATATATTTTTAATTCGCAACGACAAAACTTGGTTCGATCGTCCCGAATTATTTCGATAGCCTCGGTGCACGAGACTTGGGGTAAAAGGAAATTTAAAAAAAAATCCGTCGATTATAGTATCCAAAGAAAAAGTTCATTATTCTATTCTCGTCTATTGTAAACTATCGTCGTGAAATATGGTGGATAGAAAAATTTTCGCGAGCTTCAAAACCTTGAAACAGTCCGACTTGACAATATTGAACGTGAAGTAAAAACGCCATAAGATGAATTGTGAGACGTGGTAAGTCGAGTACAGTGAATGGGGGGAAAAAAAATTATGATAACGATGTAGTCACTAATCTTAAGGGTCAACGAGGAGAGTATCGGGCTTGAGATGGGATCGAACACAAAGTTTAAGAAAAGGATGTGTTAACTGTGGGTGGAAAAGTGGTTGCTTGTGCTTGATATTTATATTTTTCGAAGCAGAGAATATTATTAGTGAGCTGGCACCGGCGTGATAAATAATGAAACAAAGACAGAGATACGAATGGAATATAAATAATCGCGCTTACTAATAATAAACGATTACCTTTTATGTAACAATCCTTCATTTTTATTATCGCAAGGAAAACGGAAACTGAAACTTCGTAAAATCATAAATGTTCGATTTATCCATGTCTGTAAATATTATGTTTTTATATACGCATAAATGAAAACTACCACTCGATGATATATATTTATTGAGTACGTCAAGTAAATTTCGGTCATATTTTACTGTTAGCATCTTGCAGTCATCAATAAAATTTAATAACCTACTTTGCAATAGACTTTTATTCTTCTGCGAACGATAATATATCGAACTAAGTGTATTATTCGTATTATTGGGCTGTAATGTTAATGTACATAAATTTTTGGAGTACAGAAGAGGGTAAATTAGACGACCATACTTTCTCATTGTTATATATTTTATACACAATAGCGGAGGCGTCATTGTTAATTTTTTCTGCGTATGTATAATATATTACAATTCAACGAATAAGAAAAAATACTAGACATAAATATTAAAAGTATTTTTGTGAAGAACATTTCTCCCTACACGTACAACTTAAGGACACTTTACAAGGCTATTGACTTTCTCCCGTGTTTCGAATCGCCTTAAATATTAGATCGATACCTTACTATTGCTACAAAAGTACAAAATAATTTCATTTTAATACGCGGTTTTGATCGAGCCAACGCACACTGGCTCTCGATCGAAGTCGCCCGTTGCACTTACGATTAACGACAATAAATAGCATTAAATACTGATGTACATTGTTTCATGACTTACAGGTGAGTTACAATTAAACTATATATGGCAGTGATCTTGCTACTTACATGTATGTTTGTTTTACGATACGATCGGACGCGAATATGTGCCATAATTTGTTCACGAGAAAAGTCGTTTCTCAAACTATGCCTCGCAAATAAAAAATATACGCGCCATCGGAAAATTATTCTAACGACGAATCACTACTTCCATCTTTACTATTTATTACGTTTCGCTTCTCGAGACTTTTATCGAACAGTGTTTCTTTTTTTTTTTTATGTATATATTTCAAGTTTGTACTATGTTGTACGTCGCAAGATTTAGTAGAATGCGGAGATATATGTAAAATACAAGATCTTCAGAGTACTTTTATAAATATTATTATCATTAAAGTATCTATTGGAATGGCAATATGAAGAGCAACGAATTATTTCTATTTTACGTTAGTACTTCGTCAATGGTTCTCGAATTTCATGATATAGCCGGTGTTAGTCAATTTGCAATGGTAGAAAGTACAATGTTTCTCGTTTATTTTCAATAAAGTTAATTACTGCGTAAGTTTTAATTAAAAGCGTTGTCTGTCGTATGTACAAATTAGTAGTTGCTATCGATTCGTCTTTTTACATTGCATTCATAGCGCTTCCATTTTTACAAAAATGTCGTTTCCAATGATAATATAAATAACCCCCAGCGTTTGCAGGACTCCCGGATAACTGGTCGCAAGTTTCGCCCCGGGTATCTGTTGCTACGAGACCAGACGTTCTGCCGTGAAAAACAAGTTTGAGAAACACACGGACGTAGACATTTTACACGGTTCGTATGTTAGCATCTTTTGGCTTGGTTTAGTCTTAACGATTACAGATTTACCATCGCGATATGGCACTCCAAGTGTGCTGTTGCATTGTATACAGTTCACGGAAAACATTTCAAGCACTGTGCTCGTCCTTTGAACAGTCTTTGGAACTAAATTTAACGACTCAGAGTTCACGTGTTGTACTGATCATTATTGTACTGGGCAGGAGCTCAAATGAATATTATGCAACTCGTCCATGTCTGTCCAATCGCGTCTCTCCCCCCCGATCATCACGTTTCTTATGCATCCGTTGAAGTGGTCTCTTGTTATTAACGTTCCTTTGGGAGCTGAGCCTGCAACATGATCGTTAATTGATCATTTTTTAATGCAACTCGCATAGTTGCTTGTTAGAAAAAATAAAAAAACGTTCGTGGCCCTGTCGAGCATTATATTCTGTAAAATTAATGTTTGAGAATATATTGGGGAGACTGAAAATATATAGGATGTTCAGTCACCCGTGGGAAAAATTTTAATAGGAGATTCTACAGGCCAAAATAAGACGAAAATCAAGGATACTAATTTGTTGGTTGAGACTTCGTTAAAAAGTTATAAAAACATTTCCGGTCACACAGTATATCTTCGGTAAAGAATTTTTTTCCCGAAAGTGCGTAGGATTTCAAGGGTATATGTATTCACAAAAATGATTGTAATTGACCCCTGCAATTGAAAATAATTTTTCCAGAACGATTTGAAATTTTTTAATTTCGCCGAAATATTTCAGCAGCCTCTGTCGATTTTTTTTTTAAAATTCGTTTTTGATTTTTAATAATTTTGTTTGACGCCGTATAGAAAAGTTGTCTAATACTTTTTTGTAAGTACCCATGAGCTCTATTTCAGAAAAAAGTTTCATTGAAATATATTCACTATTGTGGGAGTTATGGCTGTTTGAAAATTGAATCATTTTTGTGGGGGTTTTCTCACTTTACGGGGTTAAGAAACAACTTTTTCAATATTATTCGAATTTCTACATATTCTTCACTAAAATACGCGTCATTTGCATTGAAATCCCCCAATCCGTTCAAAAGTTATGACGTTTTAAAGATACACATGAAATTTTAGAGTGACATTTCTAGCCTGGAATTATATTTTCGGCAAGGAATTTTTTTCTCGAAAATGGTTAGGATTTCGGGGGTATGTCTATTCATAAAAAAGGATTGTAATTAACCCCTGCAACTAAAAATAATTTTTTTAGAACGATTTGAAATTTTTTAATTTAATTTTGTAATAACTTTTTAACGAAGCCTCAATCAAGAAATTGATATTCTTGATCTTCGTTTAATTTGGCCTCTAGAATCTCCCATTAAAATTTGTCCCAAGGGTGGTGGAACATTCCGTATGGTTTTGAAATATTGTAATTATGTGTGGTCTTTATTAAAAATAATAATTCCTTTACCTGGCAAGCCACCGATGTACAGAGGTCCAGAGACTGTAGAGTCCATTATATGATAATTGACGTTGGCCGGAAGCCCATATATTTGATCCATCTCGTCGACTTTGAGCGTCAATTCTTCGTCGTTGTAAACCGCCCGTATTTTGTGCCATCGGTTGTCACAAATCGTGTATGGACTAGTAAAACGTTGCTCCACGTACAATGGATTGTTATCTCCCAAATCGCCTGACATAATCACTTTACCATTGTTCAATTCCAACGATAATGATGGCGAATTACCGGGCGCCGTTATGGTAAGCAAAACGCCCGATAGTTCCGATGTTCTGAATTCGAACTGAAGCTCCAACACGGCTCCTAATTCGAAATTCTTCTCTGGAAAATTTATTATATTCATTTGAGATTTGAAAATTTACCTTATGAGTAATATTATGAATATATAACACTATTTATATTTATTCGCAAGCTTCCCTTATGTAGTATGGGGGTTTCAAACCTTGAATCACTATAGTGTGAAGTAATAAAAATAATGGAAACGTTCACATTAAAAATTTTATTCTAGCTTGAAATCCTCTATTGCTAATAAATTGAAAATGATTACTGTTCTTGGAAAAGTTAGAAATGATTAATTTTAAAAATCTGAGGTTTCAACAAAATTGAAAATTTTATTCCAGAAAGTGATCTTCCTAAACAACAATATTTGATAATATTCGAGTTTGACTAATACTTTCGACTACTGTTAATAGTTCTTAAATTTCGTAATTATGGTATGTATCCTTAAATCCTCAACTATGTATGTGCACCTAACTACAAGATTTCTAATAGACTCTGGTCTTATAAGTACATATCTAATTTTAATCTTGAAAGTAAAATAATAATGTGCATATTGCTAATAACTCCAACAGGGGGTGCCCATAGCTTAATAAATAATTAAAAATTCATTAGTTTATCTTACTGTATATTGCATAGGCTACGTCTTGAAAATAGGCCCCACTTTCGACGTTTGGGAAGCACTGGCCCACTTGGTAAGCTCTGCTCGTGGAACCCACCATATCGTACACGTTTCCATTTACCCTCAAACCTCTGATGCACCCTTTTAGCGTTTCAAGTTTGACCACAACCTGCTCGGGAATAGGTGTCCCGCTTTCAGGAAGTCCTCCTATGTACATCATGGACGCCAATCCGATTTTTCTTGGTACTTTAATCGTGCGAGGAGTTTGGGAATCGACGAGCAACGTTAGTTTTCTTTCGTCGTGACTGATCACCACGTGGTGCCAATTACCATCGTTGAACGGTGTTTTAAACAGTATCTCCTTCTTCTGTTTACTTTTCACCAGAAGCAACAGCTGCCCGTCCCGAATCACTATCATAAGATAATGCTTTGGTCTGAGGCCCTGCGAAACAACGATTCAAAGCTTTCAAGATCATTTTTAATCTTGTTCTTGTTTGTAACATTTAAAGATATACACATTCTTTCCATTTAAATAATAACAACGTTAATTTAAATAGAAATATTAAGAATTGTATAAATGACCCATGATACTATGTATGATACTTCAGCAATAATTCATCTATTGCGTAAAAGTGTTAAAACAGATTATAGTAGAAAAAAAAAGTATTGTAATTCATTCATCATTTGCACAATTGCCATGCAATAATTGCAACGTTCTTATTAACAAGTTAGAAAAGGATGTATATAAATAAATTGCAAAATATTTGTCATGCATTGTATGGTACAAATCACCAAACAATTTTTACGATTGTAACGATTAGAAGTGGGAAGTATAATAATCACATACTGGAGTAATAAACAGCAGGCCGTTCGGATAGTACGTCCTGAAGTCAAATTCTATCGCGTATTTCTTCTCCCAGAATTTTTTAAAATTTAAATAAAGCTGAGTGTGGCTATTTGGCTTGTCCCCGAATTTCAGAGCCCCGGGCTCCAAGGAATAATACGGCACTTTTTGACATCCTTCCGGTTCCGTGGACATTCCTCTCGATAAGGATGCAGACAGAGTATAAACAGGGATATCTTTTCCCATACTTGGCCCAGGACGACCAATTAGCGCGTGCTCGAAACTGACCACCTCGTCGAATCGAATGATTCTGGAAAGAATAAACAATTATTAAATGTCCTCAATTTCTATTTATCTATTCTTTATTAGAGTCTTGTGACACATTGTCTTTTTCGTAGTTAATATTTCTCCAAATTGAGTACCGTATACCTTTCGATGGAACATATAGAACAACTAAATAAAATTTGAATAAAAAATTTAGTTTTGTAAAGGAAATTTAAAAGATTGCCCTTATACGAATTTTTACTTTTCTTAAACTGTAATACTTTATAATACACAAATACACTAGTTTTCTGCATTCTATTATTTCTCAATTATTCCTTTAATGTTATTATCGGTAATGCTTGTTATTCTTATTTGAAATAGTCCTTACAGAAATTTTGTCAACTATTTTAGAAAAGGGATTCGTTCGTTTGACTTACTCGTCGTTAAATATTGCGTCCTTGATGGCGCCGTACAAAGGAGTGGTTGTAGCGATCATTTTAGTATTGTTAATAAGTACTGGCAGGCCTCCAAAGAATAATCCTCCGCCTCCTTCGGGAGCTTTAATGGCGGCACTCGTAGGCAATCTCCCTGTGCTTTGGAAAGCGTCGTCTATTCGTAATGCAACGTCCTTTCTTCGTTTGATAATTGTTACAGAATGATATCTTCCATCGTTGAAAGTGTCGTTCGATTGCAAAACGAGTTCCCCTTTCCCGGCGTTCAATCTCACTTGCACTTGCCCGTTAGTTACACACACCGAGTAATAATTTTCTCTCTGTGAAAACGAATAGAACATAATCAAGTGTTTGTGAAAACTAGTAATAAATTTGGGAATTTCTTCCTAACATCCAAATAACTTCCTCATATTCTACGCTCCTATTAAAGATACTAGAAGATAATATAATAGAAGATCCTATCAAAGAAACTTTTTTGGTACTTTTCGTTTATTATATTTTCTATGTTTCCATATCGAGATACGAGAAAAACTCTTCCTAGGTGTAATATTAACGATTCTTTCCTTTTCTCACCGGGGTAGAATAATTTAAAGAAATGTGTCGTCTCACGTACATTCGACTCTTCGTTTGCATGGCGTATATTGTTCATTCGTTCTTCTTGTCCCTCGAACGTGGAAAGAAGAAGCACAGCTTCTTCCTGCATCGTTCTGAAAGAGAAGCTCACCACGGAGTTTATTTTACGCAGCGTGTATGGCGAATGTTCCAAGTGTCCATTCCCGTAGAATCCAACTATTTTTAATGGCTGCAAAGAAAGAAATTCAATCTTCATTTATAGCCTTTCGATTATCCAAAATGATTTTTAACAAACATAACCGAATAATTCTGCTAATTTTGAAGATTAATTTTTCTAAGCCTCTTAGGAGCTAAAAAAATTAATCCTCAAGATTAGACATTAAAAAATCTAAATCCAGATAGGACTCTTGAATTTTAACGAGGCTGTAAAAATAAGTTCTATGGCAAATTCTAAGTATGCTATTTTCCAATTGTCAAAAAACAAAGTTTCCTTTTCGTGGACATTTTGAGGAACTTGGCCGGGCAGTCAACGTTTTAAAAAGTTAAAATTCAGTTTAGAACTGAATACAGGGTGGCCCGTATTATGTGGGGCCCACTTCAGTGATAGATTCTAGACAAAAAAAAATAATAACAAAAGTTCATATAAACACATGTTCTATTCGAAACCATTTTCAAGTTGTAGCGAGTTCTGTGTTGAAATAATACTTCTGAAAGACGAGGATAGTTGGACTGATGAACTCAGTATTTCAATTTTGTATTTTAATTCTGTAAATACTTTCTATAAACATTACAGTACTATGTGTCAAATCATTGAAATACATCATCTATGAAAATAGAAACTTTGTCTAGTCAATAAATAGCAAATATGAACCATGGGGGTTTATTATTATAAATAATAGCTTGACAAATAGACAGGGTAAGATAGTTAATTGTAAGACGTCTCCAGACTCATATTTATACAAGGAGGTCATTTTAAATACCTATTGTAATGTGTTCAAAAAGAAACTTGCTATAACTTGAAAATGGGGTCAAACAGGACACATGCTTATACGAACTTTTGTTATTGTCTCCTTGTGTAGAATATATTTTAACGGTACAATTATTATCAGGAAAATCACGCAATTGTTTGCTTACTTTATTTCCGCAAGTAGGCTCGACGCCATAGTACTGTTCCGCCATTGGATCGTATCCCTCCTGGATGTTAATATTGGACATACATCCGAGGAAGGACACCTGAGAAGGCAGCATTAATTTCTCCGCGCGAAAACTCGGCGGTATTCCACCGATGTAATATTTAGCTTGAACCAGGTCAGGGATATCCTCCTTTTTGGGCTGAGGCGTGGGCGCGCCGATCCTTTTGTCCGCCTCTCCGCCCACGCTCAAGCTGCACTTCTCTATATTTTTCCGTAGCTGGTACTGCCTGAACGCGTCCACTTTCGTCCAGTTCCCGGTATTGTACTTGTGCTTCGAGGACATTTCCATGCTCACGTTCCCGCCGTAACCGACGTGCAGGATCACCTTTCCCTCCCGCAGGAATATCATGATGTACTGGTTCTGTTGCAAGCGAAAATAAAAGCTTCAAACGTGTCGAAAAGTAGAAACGACTTGAAATATAAAAATTTGTCTGAAACAAGTGGAATTCTCTATTATTTGGCTGAGCGTGTCTAACCACTAACGTGTTCACTGTCCGGTCTTTTGGCGGCGTATCCAAAAGCGTGGCGTTATGACCCGTATACGGGCCATGGACAATGAACGTGTTAATTAATTTTTCTATTTGTCCTCAATTCTGTATATTGAAAAACGATGAAAGTAGTGATTCAATCGTCGAAATAATAATTAATTAAAGATTAACTTTTGAGAATTGAATGATGCAATAAATAATTCCAGGGATTCCTAGAGAGGTATCGTAAATAATACGGTTGATAATATGTACATTGAGTGGATTGATGGCTAGGAACAGCAAAGCATTCTCATCGTAGGTTCGGAAATTGATGGAGACTCCGAAGGTGTATTTATTGTACGGTCCTGATGAAACCCTGCTCCTAACTGCATAACCTTCTCCATTAAAACTGTAAGCTATATCGTCCCTGGCATCTTCCACCCTGAAATATCGAGATAAAAATAAAAAAATTTAAGTTAACATCAACAATGATGTTTCTGTGCGAATTAAGGGAGCTTTTATAGTATGTTTACCCCTCCACGCATGCTCTGCACGCCATATCCGGTGCAGTTGTAATGAAATTCCAAAGGCCTATAGGCTTCCCGTCCAGGACAACCTGGTGGATGCAACCTGGCAGTCCGTTTGTCGCGATTAACTCTGCTCTTCTTCGTTGAAACTTTGGGATTCCTCCAATCCACACGCGATCGGACGTTGTGATGTCGAAACGACCGTATTCTGAGTCCGTAGAATTCTTCACGGGCAGATATCCGCCGGATGTCGTCGCCTGCTTTCGTACTTGCAGTTTACCTATGTGTCGGACCCTGGAATTTCGGAATAAGTTCTATCTATGAGACGACGAGCGAATATTTTCTAGTATAAACAAAGATAAAACTTTGTGCTTGCTTTTATTTAGTAACGAATAATTTGTCCAGTGATGGACTTACGAACAATTCTTAATGCGAAGTATTTCTTTTTTACGAGGTAACGTACTTCTAATTTTTGAATTATATGTACAGAAAGTTGCCGTAAGATATTTGTCTCTTTTATGTCGCGTATTTTTAAAATCTGTAGAAAAATATACTTTTACTCAAAATGTGCATATTTAGTGCTTTAACTTTGTATAGAAAATTTACAAACTACGTCGCTTAATTTTCATCGGATAGAAGATAAAACCTTGAAAACGAATTTTGTTTCAAGTCGATATTATAATTCATTCGGAGAAAACAATTATTTACGAGAAAATGGCACAGTAATTATGCAAACATGCTGTATACAAATTTAAATTCATTTACAATTAAATAAACAATTTATAATCCAGTTTTATCGCACATCAGTTGTATCATCGATCAATAGGAATTGCTGAAACTTTTTCAGGTATATAACGTCAAAGAAAATGTCAAAATAAACATAGAAGATAGCATAAATTATAATATTTGGTTTATTCATTGGATAGAGGATGAAATGCCCTTTAAAATGGGTGGTCGAACAAGTCGATAGCGTAATTAGTTCCGGAGATACGAGGGTCCGAAGTTTTTTACGTTTCATAGTTGCGCGCCTGCGCGAGGTCAACGACCGTCAGCATAAATAGTAAGCAACGCGTAGTAAATTCTTGGAAACACGACAGTCACATTCGTGGGATAGATTAGCACGATGCAGGTGCGAGAGAAAGATCCGACGCGCTAGACGGAGACAGAGATAGTCGAATTAAAAAAATTACCATTTACATAAATTACGATATCTCGAAAACGAAAAGTTCGATCGACATAAAATCATTTCAAAGAGGAAGATTTGCCGCTTCTGATAATGTTTCAATTATGCAGAAAACCTAGTAGTTTCGGAACTGCGCGTGTTTAAAGTTGTAATATTTTTAATACGCGCTAATAGACGATTCAAACGCAAAGAGTGGAATTTTAAAAATTACACTTTCATTTAAATTACGATATCTAGAAAACGGGAAGTCGGATCGATGTGAACCAGTCATGGATGAAACGCTAGTAATTTCGGAATTACACGCGTCCAAAGTTTAATTATTTTTAATAGGCGTTGTTAGACCGCTCTAAGACAGTGGAAACTGAAGACACTCCTTTCATTTTTGCTATACATTTCCTATTTACATCGGAAGTGTTGGAATGAAAAACACCATGCAACTGCATGTCTTCCGTGCGCGGCTCGGGTAAGCTCGGGAATCTTCGGCGCGAGTCGGTTGCCGACTCTGCGAGCGTGGCGCGAGGACAAGGCAGTCTTTTGTCGGTGATCGGTAAAGGAGCATGTGGAATGCCTTCATGGCTTGTTATACAAATAAACTCTTGTTTGTTGTTAACTGTTAAGTACAGTGCGATATTTGTGAAGCTCAATAAATCCTACAGGAAGTTAATTTGATACCGAATTTTGTCCGGTTTTTTACAAAAAAATATAAATAAGTAAGATAGACTATATGTATATTTCTCTCAGTCAACGAACAATAAGAATAAAAATGAGTATTAAAAAATTCATTGTACGTATACTATAAGAAAATTCGTGAAGTTAAATGGCGTTAAAACAACATTGTATGTTAGAAATTCTAAACATAAAAATAGTCATTTGACCGGGGCGTGGTAGTTTTAGTGTTAATATAGAAACGATATACTTCAGTAATTTATTAATAGAAAATAAAAAGTTCTCCACAAAATTCGAAATTTCGTTCGCTTTGGTAGTCCATTAGCCTCTATTTGACAAGACTAACATGATTGTAATCGATATTTAGATATACAGTCAACTTTTCGGATCAAGAGTAAGTTAAAATTGAAAGAAACAAACCAGCACAATTGTCAATGGAGGGAGAATGTTTGTTATTTTTGAATAAAATTTTTAATTTTTAAATAGTTCTGTCACGATGGTAGTTAGATGCTTAAAAATAGCATAAATTACCAAAATCCGGACTTAACTATCGTTCCAAGTCATTTATCGGTGTATTAAATAACTGTACCTTTCTGCCTCGATGCGGTACCAGGATTTATCGTCCTGGAAATCGCCGCTCTCGATCACTTCCGGGTGGGTGAGGAACCCTGTGCCTCCGCCGACGTTCCAAACGAATCGAACTTTCCTGTCGTTGATCTCCAAAGCAATGAAGTCATCCTATAACATCGAAATATTCGTATAAATTTAATAAAAGCTGTCAAATTCGCCATTATCTTAATACTTACGTTTATACTGCTCGGTAGATAGAACAAGGAACCCTCTTTTCGACCTTTCGGAAGTGCAAAGGTCATCACGATAGTGTTCGTCGATGTTGGCTGCAACGTAGACGGTCTGTACGACCGGATGCACTCTTTCCCGTCCGCTGATTTCAAGGAAACTCGAATCTATCGAATAGGGGACAAAACTTTGTTCGAAATTTTTATTCTATCCAACGATCAAACGAAAATTACCATTCAAAATTAAATTAAATTGCAGAAACAATTTTTCTGAAAACCCGTATTCGACCAAAGGACTACAATGTCGATTGAAAATGGAATTGAATTGGGGAAACAATTTTTTTAGAAATCTCTATTCGTCCAAAATATTAAAATGTCGATTGAAAATGGAATTCAATTGGGGAAACAAGTTTTCTAGAAATTTTTATTCGACCAAAGGATTAAAATGTCGATTGAAAATGGAATTGAATTGGGGAAACAATTTTTGTAGAAATCTCTATTCGATCAAACTACTAAAATTACGATTAAAAATGAAATTGGAACACTGGAGATTACCCCGTCGGCGGTGTTCCTGGCTTCAGCGATTTTGTCTTTCAGATTCTGCAACTGGGAAGCCAAAGTATCGTTCCACTTGTCGAACGCATTCTTTCTCTTCACAGCAGCGTTCGACAAGCTTATCAATTTCGCGTCCGCCTTTTTAATGTTGCTCAGTGCTTCCGTCACTGAAATAATTTGGATTCGTTATGTGAGAATATTAAATGGACTTGAAAAATTGAAAACAAAAAATGTATCGTACGTTTCTCACTGGCTAAACTGATTTTCGAGTCGCCTTCTCTCTTCAGTTCGTAGAGTTTTGGCTTCAATCTGTTCGCGATGCCATCAGTGTAATCGTCGATTAGCTTTTGCGTGTCTTGTATATCCTCCGATACTTGATCGTTATCGTTCAACACGATTTGAATATTTTCACGCACTGAAAACAAAAGAATACTTTATTTTATACGATTCTTACTTGTATAATTAACGCTAGATTCACAGAACTCGATTTCAGTTCAATACAATCGACAGACAAAAATTTATCAAATTTTATTAATATATTATCTGTTGGAAAAAATTCATTAAACTTCGTTCCACTGTTTTTATTACTTATTTATAAAAAAACATCGTGTTTATAGCGTTGTACCATAGTAGATGGACTTACATTTTTTGCTGTCATCTTGCAAGTTTCTCAAATCTACGTTGATACGATTGTCTCTGATTCCAGTGTTGTTCAAAGTGTGTTTCAAAACGTTCACAGCTTCCTTTTGGACTTCCATCTCGTCGTTTGCATTTTCCACCAATTTTCCGTGTTTTTCCGCGCTGTCCAGCTGCTCAGACGACGCCATCGATATTTCCTTCGCGCTGTCCAAGAGCGACTTCGATTCGGGCCCGTTGGGAAACGTCTGACAAATTTATTTAACCGTGAAAAAGTAATTAAAAATCATAAGAAATACAATTAATATTTCCATAATTAAAAATATTAACGTTTTAAAAAATCTTTCGCAGACTAAGACTGCTAAATGGGAAAATCGAATATGGAATTAAAACTCGATGTGAAATGCATTTATTTAAATTGATGTATTAAAAAACTCTTTTTTTTTCAATCCATTTGAACACTATATGTATAAAGAATCAAAAAGAAAATCGAGCATGCAATAATAAATTTAGTCGATTGATCAAAGAAAGATGTTGAAATACGAATTATGATTTTAACCCGATTGAAAAATTATGTCATTGACGTTTTCTTTACCTTATTGTATATATCTTCTGTCAGATCTTTAGCTGCCATTGCGGTGACAGTTGCAGCTCTAATGCTATCGGCGATATTCTTGTACGCTTGACTGGCCTTCAGCGGGCTGGCTGCAATGTCTCTCGTCTCGGAAAACAGACTGCATCAAGTTATCGATCGTCAATTATATCAAGCAACAACGCAAAGGCAAGATTAATCGCGACAGAGAAGCATTTTTTATTTTCCCAATTCTTCTCCGAACACATTTTGCTTTAAATGCTCTGCGTTAACTTGCAATTACTTTTAAATTCTAGTAATTGAATCTCAGTAATAAACTGACAAAGAACACGTGGATAGAAATAAACTGTTTCGTTTTACGTGGACCGATGATTTCCTTACCTGACATACTGATCGACATAGTTCGACAGGTTTTTTGCGTGCTGTACGGCGGGCACCACGTACTTGTCGTTGTATTCGTAATTTAATCTGTACAATAATTCTTCCTTCATGCTCAATTTTTCAAACCAGTACGTCAATTTGTTTTGCAATTCTGGGAGATCCTAAAATCCAATGAATTCTTTTATTTTTTTCCAGTACGATATTTTACAATGATCGTGTAATATTGCAAAATTGGAGAAGAAAAATTCGTATTAGTAGAAACTTTAAAAATACGTACTTGGAAATTATTTTGCATGTCGACGATGAAACCTCGCGTTTCATCCGTCAGCTTTTCACCCGTTGCAATCGATTCGTTGATTTCGTTGCTTAGAACATTTATCTTGTTGCAATCGTTTTTAGATTCCACGAAAGTATGGTTTATATCGTTGTATAGACTGTCATAATTGAAGAGTATCTCCATGGTGTCTTCTATGATCTTTCTCATGTCGTTCAGTTTCACGGAATATTCTTCCGCGTTGTCGCGAGCTATTGCTACAGGTTCTGTCGCATCGTACAAAGAATTCAACGACCCGGTATATTCGTCTACGTCCCTGTCAGAAATTTCAAACGATTATTATGCGTTTTATTTCTGATCGGATTAATTGAAATAATCAGATTTTATAAAGCTCTCAAAACCAAATTATAATATTATGTTTTTTATTTATCGGAGCATGCACGGTGAACAGAAAATTTCTGTAAAAACATATATTTTTTTTCTATATAATTTTGTATAATTTTCTGTCGACCGTTTAAGCGCCAGTAAAATTCATATTGACGATAAAAGTAACTTTTTGTTCAAGAAAATAAAAGTAACCACTAACTCGAGGAAGCTTTCTATTTCCATCGTCTTCTTCGTCAAATTGACGGTTTTCAAACCGTTTAAAATCATCTTGGCCGTTTTCAAAGCTTTCTTGATTTCTATCCTTTTGTTGTCGTTGCTGTACTGCGACAATTGCATAACTGTTCCTGAAATTATATAAAATCATACGCGCGTAATGTAGATATTGTATATTAGTGAAAAGTTATTTTAAGCAATCGATATTCTAATGTATCCAATAATGAGGATATGTACCTTACCTTCAATGTGTGTTCGCAAATTTTCCGCTTCAATTTTTGCGCTGAATATATTGTTCTCTAAATCGTCGCTTTTCGATTTTAAAGTATCCGCGCGTTTTGCTTGCTCGTTTGCCTGTAAACGCATTATTTATTAGCTTCTTCAACTCGGATGGAGAATAAAACTTATTAATAAAAGGAAACAGAATTACGTAGAGTGCATAATAAATTATATATGATAGAAACAATTGAACTGCAAGTTGTGGATCTGAGTTTTAAACGAGGAAATTATAGATAACGATAAAGATAATTAGTATTACGTTAAAACTAAATTATGTTGGATGCAAGTGTGAATGATTGATGTAGTTTAATGTACGTACGGTTCTGAGCAACGTTTCAGTATGTTTCATTAGTTTCTTGTACTCGTGCCACGGGATGTTTTTCATTCTTAGTTTCAATTTATTCTGATGGTCTATTTCTTCGAAAAATGCGGTAGTATTGGAATCGATGTATGATAAATCTTCCCATGGTGGGGGAATATAACCATCGGCTATGTGAGTGGTGCCGTCTGCCAAGTTTAGGGAAAGTTCCGCCACAGTATCGAGCAACACACCGGTGCAATTGTCGTTGCATGCTAGAGATATACCACAAACAGTTCAACGAATTAGGAGTCAATTTTTTATAAATTTTGAATCTGTGTATTAAAAACATTTTTTTAATCGTAAGTAAACAAGTTGTGCAACGATTTAATTAATTTTTATATTGTAATCGTTATTAATCTATAATAATTCCACTGTTTTACTAGTAGAAGAAGCCATTTAAACCTTAATATTCAAATTGAAATCAGTTGCAGTTGCATTGATGCATATAGAGATGCAACTGCACTTTCTTAAAGAACGAAATTTTAGAATTTTGCTTGAGCCATTCGATACAGCATTTTAATCGCTATAAAAAAAGTATAAGGTATTTATGCCCTGAACTTAATAGTTCAAGAGTTATGCTACTTCAAAGTATATTAAATAATGTCACTTTAAAGTATTATAACTCTTGAACTATTAGGTTTAAGGCAAAAGTACTTAATATGTTTTTCTAGAGACTAAAATACTCCATCGAATGGTATAGTAAAAATTATAGATTTCCACTTATAAAATCGAATGCAGTTGCATCGATGCATCTAGACATGCAACTGCACATTTTTCAACAACGGCAATCTAGAATTTTGATTGGGCCATTCGATATAGTATTTTAATTGCTAGAAAAAAGTATAAGGTACTTATGTCCTGAGCCCAACAATTCAAGAGTTATGCTGCTTCAAAGTTTATTTAATTATGTCACTTTAAAGTATTATAATTTGTAAACTATTAGTTTTAAGGTAAAAGTACCTAATATTTTTTTTGTAGAGATTAAAATACTGCATCGAATGGTGTAATAAGAATGATGGATTTCCATTTGTAAAATGGAGTCCAGTTGCATCTAGAAATGCAACTTTGCATTTTTAAAGAATGGAATTCTAGAATTTTAATTCAGCCATTCGATAGAGTATTTTAATCTCTACAGAAAAGTATAAGGTACTTACCTACTGAGCCTAATAGTTAAAGAGTTATGCTACTTTAAAGTTTGTTAAGATAAGCAATCATTATAAATCTATAAAAGTGTAATAATCTGTAGTATAATAATGTGTAGTAATAATTCCACTGCTTTACTAGTGGAAGAAGCCATTTAAAGTTGTAATATTGAAATCGAAACCAGGAAATTTTAAATGGTAGAGAATTAAAATATAAATATTTATGTTTCTTACTTACAAGTGCAAACGTTGTTTATGAAAACGTGTCGATGGGCAGTGCACTGGGAGCAATCCCGTCCTGTGGAACCGACTCTGCATCTGCATTGTCCCGTTTCCGTGTCGCATTCATCGTTTAAGCTACCGGCAGGGTTGCAATTGCATGGTATGCATTTTCCTTCAGGCAGACCCGGGAACCCATAGTAACCGTACGAGCATTGCTCGCATTTTCTGCCCTTGTAACCTATGAAAATACCAAAAGAGTAGATTAATACAAGTAGAGTTAGAATCAAGCACATATCTGCTTTAATAAAGATATCTTTTAAAAATATCTTTGCAACTATTAACTTAGCCTTCTTTTGAGTAGAACGTTCAGAGAAAATGTTGGTGTATCGTTAAAAAAAATGTAACCCATGGAAAAACTATTTACACTAGCTTTCAAACCCCTCGAAACCCTTCATGTTTCCCCCTTAATATTTGCTCCTAACTCCAACCATAACAGAGGTGTAGCTTGTTGCAAATCAAAAGAAAAAGTTCATATGTGTCGTTCTTGCTATTGTGGAAATTTCTTTAGGTAAAATTCTTCCTCAACAGCTTCAAGTCGTAAATATAAGTATTTTTTATTATACACAGTACCTCATTAAGTACAATCTTTTCTATGGGATACCAACTTTAGTACTGCAAGATAATTGGAAATAAAAAGTTTCTCTAACTCTTTGACGAACATTCGAATTTTGTATGCGTTTCAACGACGGAAGAGTTAAATTAAAAGAAGCATTGCTGTACTATCTTTAGACCGTTCGAGAAATATTTAGTAACACGTTGAAAGTACAAACCAGGTTTACAGACACATATTGGCTCGGTGTCAGCGCGAACCATGCAAGTGTTAGAGAATCGTTTGTCCGTCTGTGGGCAAGGACATGGTTTGCAGCCGCCGAAATCCGGATGCCCGTAAAAACTATCTGCGCAGACGTCGCATTTGGGTCCAGCGCTGTTTCCGCTGCAGTTCTGCAACAAAAATTTAAAACCGTTAAACACCAGCGAAGTTTCTGTATTCCGTACTAAAAATATTCATTTTTGTCTCGTTTATTTTGATAGTTAGAACTATTCGCTTTTCCCTTTACAGTATTATACAGGGTGTTCGACCACCTCTGGGAAAAATTTTGATGGGAGATTTTAGAGGCCAAAATAAAACGAAAATCAAGAATATCAATTTGTTGATTGAGGCTTCGTTAAAAAGTTATTAAAAAATTAAATTAAAAAATTTCAAATCATTCACAGAAAAATTACTTTCAGTTGCGGGGTTCAATTATAATCATTTTTAGTCAACAGGCATACCCACGAAATCGTAACCATTTTCGAGAAAAAAATTTCTTACCGAAAATATAATTTCTGGCCAGAAATGTCACTCCAAAATTTCAAGCGTATCTTTAAAACGTCATAACTTTTGAACGAATCGAACGATTTTAATGTTTCAAAATGCAATTAGCGCAAATTTTAGTGGAGAATATATAGAAATTCGAACAATATTGAAAAAGTTGTTCCTTGATCCTGTAAAGTGAGAAAAACCCCATAAAAATGGTCCAACTTTCAAACTTCTATAACTCCTACAGTAGTGAATATATTTCAATGAAACTTTTTTCTGAAGTAGAGCTCATGGATACCTACAAAAAGTATTAGACAACTTTTCTATAGGGCGTCAAACAAAATTAGTAAATATCAAAAATGAATTTCTAAGGAAAATCAACAGGGGGTGGTAGATGCTGAAATTTTGCGGCGAAATTAAAAAATTTCAAATCGTTCTGGGGAATTATTTTCGGTTGAGAGGGTTAATTACAATTATTTTTAGTGAATTGACATACCCTCGAAATCCTACGTACTATCGAGAACAAAATTCCTTACCGGAAATATAATTTCTGGTCAGAAATGTTTCTATAATTTTTTAACGAAGCCTCAATCAACAAATTAGTATCCTTGATTTTCGTCTTATTTTGGCCTCCAGAATCTCGCATTAAAATTTTTTCCAGGGATGGCCTAACACCCTGTATAAAAGTACACGAAAGATCAAGGTACGAAAAAAATTTTGCATTATTTACATAAAGAATAACTTGTTAATGTAAATATGTTTACATTTGTGTTTACGTAAAAATTGCCATATTTTGTCCCATTACTTTATGTTTCGCGTATTTTATTAGTAGCTCTAATAAACGAGCCAAAAATGAAGTGAACTTATAATGTAGATCAGCAGTGTAACTGTAGAAAATGATGTTTATGAAATTTACCAAACAGTGTCCCGTTTCCCTATCGCAGACCTCGGATCTTCCGCTGCACTGACAACGTCTGGCTTGTCCGATAAGATCGATAACGATCGTCGATGTAACAGTCGTGTTTTTGTACCACCTATAGTACCCTATGCTTGGATCTTGACAAGACGTGCTGTTGTATTCCGGTGGACATTTGCAAATCTCGATGCCCGTCGCGAAAGACGGCGTATGCGTGGGTGTCAGAACCGCCGCGTCTACAGAAGCTTCCACCAAACTGGAATTTCACGCAATTACAATTTAATTAAAAAGGTTAAACTTTGGGAATTTTCAACTCGACTCTAGATCCAATTTGCTAAATTTCAGACTTTGTACTTAAAGTTACAGAAATCGTAAATATCATTTTATGGCCTTGTGCGATCCACAGTCGTTGATGCTATTTTTTGCTTTTAATCTAGCTCAGTGGTAAAAGTTTATAATAAATTATTAAAATACTACGACCCAATAGATAGACTTCGTACTTAAAGTTGAAAAAATTGTAAATATTATATAATAATAATTTTGAGAGTACAACACCCTAAACAAGCTGGAATAATTTTAAAAAAATATTTGGAGTCATAAATAACGCTGGCCTTATTCGATCCCCAGTCATCAATGTTATTTTTTGCTTTTAATCTAAAAGTTTATAATAAATTATTAAAATACCACGACCCGATGGATTGAAAAAAAGACACATTTAGCTGAGTTTTATAATTTCACGAGCGATACAAAGCGTCGATAACTATCGAAGATGTTGAAAATGTCGAACTAGGGAAGTTCCACGTACGTTGTTTTCGTGAATTCAGCATTATCGGAAGCCCTAACGAGAATGTACTGCAAGTTTTGCAACGCGACCATGAGCACTTCTCTCGTGACTTTGTAATCGGGCCTGTTTTGCAATTGCCACAACGACTCGTGGAACCTGAAAAATAGAATATGAAATCATGGAAGGGACTTCGTCGGAAATTATTGTCGGAATTTTGGGTTACCGGATCGAAAGATTTATTAAGTGGTACCTGATCTCATAACGATTGTTATTCACAGGTAAAGGCAAATAATATTCCAGGACGATCTTCTGGTTCCCCTGGAGCTGCACGATTGGGTATTGGAGTGTCGATCTTAGAGGTATTCCACCTTCTGTCAAAGTTGTAAATCTTAAAAATCCTCCGTAGGAAACGACCTTGAATTATAAGTTACGCGATGTCATTCGTTTTCTACGCGTGGAGGGGTATGGTTATACGTTAAAAGTGATATAAAGTTGTCAGAAACGCACGTGGAAGAACAGTTTTCTGAATGGATGGAGTTACCTTGTCGCCCAGGAAGGTTTCGGGCAGCATCCAGTAAAGTGGATAATTGTAATATAAGTTGGACGGTATTGTCACGTCACCTTCGATCTCAGGAATCGTCGTGAGCCCATTGGTTGCGTTCAAACCACCGTTTATGGGGGATAAAAAAATTTGAGACCTGAACTTGGAAACCTGCAAAGGAAAAAATTCACTTTCCTTATTATAAGCGAGGACAAATTTAAAAGTAAAAGTTGAATAGGGAATTTATGTATATCGGTATATTATTCCTGCAAAGCTGTAAAATTTATTATACAAAGTAGTAAAAAATAGCTTATATAATAAATAATGGTAAATAGTAAATTAATTTATATCGGTATTATTCCTGCAAAGCTGTAAAATTTATTATACAAAATAGTAAAAAATAGCTTATATAATGGATAATGGCAAATAGTAAATTATGTAGTAAATAAGGAATTTATATAGATATTATAATTGCAGCAAAGCTTTAAAGTTTATTAAAAAAAATAGTAAAAAATAGCTAATATGATAAATGCCACTTACTATTATGTCGTTGCTGGTATCGTTGACATAAAGAGTTCGAGGTCGCGTCAGTCTACGTTGCCCCCAGCTAAGATCTGCCTGCTGACAGGAAGTTGTTCTGCCAAAACAGAAGCATTCGGTGCAGCCTTTCGGATTGTCCACAGCCAGGCCAAAGGTACCTTCTTTGCATTGGTTACACTGTCTTCCAAATACGTGCTCCTACATTCAAAATACATAGTAATTTAAAAAATAATGATAATTATTTAGAAAAGGTCGGGTCTCACCGATTTCGATGATTTTTTAATATGTTGTAGAAATCAAAATTTTGAACAACTTTTTCCTATACATATAACCGCCGCTCGGCCTTAGTTTCCGAGATTTTTCTTCAAAAAGATCGCTACTACTACAATGAATTCTGTCTATATGTACATGTCTGTGGCTCTAACGACAAATAATGCATAGTGTGTCAAGCTAAATCTAGTTCTGCATTGATATCGCCTTAAACGCATTGCTGTCAAAGGTTTTAGAATGAAGTTGTATGAATATTTAAGTATATGCAATAATTATGATACACTAATTGATTTTTTAATTGAACAAAGAGTGATTCATGGTGAGATGTATTGTAGTAAGTGTAAAAGTACAGAAGCAATGAAATTTAATCGCAAAGATTTAATATTCAATTGCTACGCAAGTTATATTTCAAAAAATCGAAATAAAAAACGGGTGAGAATATATTGCAAATCAAGAATTAGTGCTCTCCATAATACGTGGTTTAATAATATACATAGCTATGTGCAAGATATTTGTCGCTTTATCGGTTACCATTTAATGATGAAACCACCAAGGCAAACATTTTTGCAAAATGAGCTGGAAATATCGTCGACAACGGCAGTTGATTGGGCCAGTTTTTGCCGCGAATTATGTCTTTTATGGATAGAAAAACATTCTGTTCCAATCGGGGGTGAGAATGAAATTGTTGAAGTGGATGAGGCGAAGATTGGTAAACGGAAATTTAATAGGGGAAGACTTTTAACTGGTCAGTGGATATTCGGAGGAATTGAACGTTCGAGCAAACGTATATTTGTTATTCCAGTTTCAGATCGATCATTTGAGATACTACTTGAGGCGATCCGAAATTGGATCAAACCTGGCACTACAATTATAAGTGATTGCTGGAAAGCGTACGATTGCCTTAATAAAGAAGGTTTTAGGCACTTAAGAGTCAACCACAAAATCAACTTTGTAGTTCCGGAGACAAATACACATACGCAGAACATCGAACGTGTATGGCGAGAAGTAAGAGCGAATATTCCGAAGTATGGAACTCGCCAAATACATTATGTAGGCTATTTAGCCGAATTCTTCTTCCGTCGACAATGAAAAAAATTTCAATTTTTTGAAATAATGGCTGAAATCTTTCCCACTTCTGATAATATCAATAAAGAAACTTGAAATAGAAAATGAATGCGTGGCCGACCGCCTTACGGCGGCCGGTATAAGAAAATCTAACCAAGACCTAATTTATTATATTAGTTACTAGGTAGAATAGTTAGGTTTGTGTTAGGTCTGGGTTAGATTTTTTTATACCGGCCGCCGTTAGGGGTTTTAAGCACACCCGTTATACGCATCCATTGCCGGCCGCCTCGATGTATCTATAGAAACAATAAACAATCGGCGAGTCAACGCTTACACACACGCTGCCACATGCACGTACGTATAGATAAAATTCATTGTAGTAATAGCGATCTTTTTGATGAAAAATCTCGGAAACTAAGGCCGAGCGGCGGTTATATGTATAGGAAAAAGTTGTTCAAAATGTTGATTTTTACAATATATTCAAAAATCATCGAAATCGGTGAGACCCGACCTTTTCTAAATAATTACCCAATTCATAATCAAATTATGAGTCTCAATATCAATTCGATTTTATTCTATATCATATATTATATATTATTTATTTTTAAGCATTGTTTTCTACCTCAACTGTAAAAATATCATTATATTTTCTCCCGTACATGAAGTTTTACTCGTATAACAAACAAATAAATAATGACACTTTGTTTGAAGATCAGAACCACTGTATATATTCACGTTTATTAATATTAATTGAGATTACAATATTTATATACCAATTATTCATTCGGTAAATCCATAGATAACTATTAATGTACGTCTTCTGAACCAAATCTATTTTTCACTAAGCAACTACCATTCGACAATTAACCCTTTGACTCAGACAGTTAACTGCGTGCGTTAAACGCCTATGTGCGTTCAACCAGTGCGTTGTTCAAGGCATGAAAAAGCTTTCCGCACAGAACTTGTGTTTACGTCAAAATTGACCGTAGTCAAAGGGTTAATTATTTAGACTTATTTAGATTCTTTAAAAATCGTGTGCCCTATTTACTCTTAATTACATGTACATTTACTGTCGTTGGTGAATAATGAATAAAATTTTAGAAAACTTATAGCAGCTGATAAATTTGTCTTAATCGTAGTGTACCTTGCAAGGACACTGTCCTTCGTCGTTGCAGTCGCAGACTTCCTCGCCACATTGAAAGGTGCCTGCTAGGTTGCAGCTGCAAGGACGACACCTAGGATAACCGTAGTAACCTTTTGCACATTTCTCGCATCTGAGACCATCGTAGCCTATTCTGCAAGGGCACTGGCCCTGGTGGTCACACTGGGGCCTCGTGGAGCCCAGGGTGCAATCGCAGGCTCTGCAACCAATCCCAGGCACCAGGTCCCAGGAACCTGGTCTGCATCTGTCGCAGTGTTCACCGAACGTCATGATCGGGCACACGCAACGACCAGTGTCCGGGTCACAAATGTGACCTGGTCGTATGCATGGATCACACACTGCAAGAACAGATCCAATCGAATTACCGTTATGAGAACCATTTTTCAGCGGCAGAAATTAAAAATATGTATTATGGAACCTCAAAGAATATATAGAATTTATTATAATGCTTTATAAATTGTAATAAAATACTAACAAGAGCAGATGATAGATAAATTTCTAATCTACGGAAATATGAATCGAACGGAAAATACGTAAACTATCGTAAAAGGCTGACCATCCATATAGATAAATTTCTAATCTTCAGAAACATGAGTCAAACTAGTAAAAAAACATAAATGACAATTGAAATCAGACATTGTTTCGTTTGATAAACATGAGAGGATAAGTGTTGGAGTTTGTGGACATTATTTTTGTGCTCCCGCTGACTACGTGCTTTATATTAATGTAATACATAATGAAATATTTTTTATCGCGATGGAGTGAAAATTGTACGTTATGCTCCGGAAATATATTTGATTCGATCTATATAAATTATTTACCCTGGCATCCGTTTGATGAAAATCCATAATATCCGGGCAAACAGGTTTCGCAATGTTTGCCACCGACTCCCCGTTTGCAGTAGCATTGTCCTGTACTCTCGTGGCAGGAAGAGTTGTACGATCCTATTGGGTCGCATTCGCAAGGAGCACATCCTGCTCCTGTCATCAAACCCCAGAAGCCAGTCTTACGAAAGAAAAAACGCCCACGACTCGTTCGAATTAAATTATTTACGCAAACGATAAAGAAATTGAAGCTTCGCATCCAAGATCGTGAAACAAAATGATACGAGTATCCAACGATACGAAGCAGAAATTTAAAAATCGTAAATGTTGAAGTAAACTCGATGCAAATTCGATGGTATAATAATGGATAATAATGCCAATGAGTAATGAAAAAATTTTTAAACGCATAAAATACATTTTGTGAAAAAAAAGAATCAATAAATGGATGGAAACAAATTTTAATATTTTAATTCGATGTTAGACCTGTTAATTAATTCACTCACCGGACACTGGTCGCATTGTCTGCCTGTCACGCGTGGTTTACATTGACACTGCCCTGTCACGATGTCGCAAGCAGTATTTATGGAACCAATATGGTTGCATCGACATCCTGTGCATATTAAAAATAAAATAAATTATTATTACGAAGTGTCTGCACAATTTCTACTATAATGTATTACTTATTGTTACAGAATGACATTTATGTCACGTTTAAAAAGGAATAGCTTGTTTTTATTCCGCTGTATATTTATCAATTATCGATTAGAAGTTTGTGAAAGGAAATAAAGTCGAGGTTCCACGAATATCTTAATCATACTCGATGGAAACAGTTAGGGGTTCGTTACTGCGAATATAGCGAGCAAGTGACATATGATTAATTCAGGCAGCCGTAACTGCCAGCCTAACTCTCGCGCAGCAAAGCCAAAGCATAAGTAATGATCTTGCGTCGCTAATCCTACACGGCATTCAAGGCTCACGGTCGCAGATAAATAAATAATTACTCTCGTTACAAAGCCTCGCGGATCAGCTGGAAGCTGACTATGACGCCGCATAATCGTGACTAATATCGATCATCCTTTAAAACGATAACTCGACGTCAGGATCCTTTATTAACTTTACGGTTCAATTACAGTTCGCCTCGTTGAATCTCTAACGAAGCTCCTTGATATTGCAGATAAGAACCTTTGATTAATTTACTAGAGAAAGTGCATCGATTATTTATTGCGAATTTATATTGTTGTAATTTTAATCGGTAGTAATCGAGATACCGTTGCTTTTAATCGATTGCTATCTAAAAACAGAATTCTTACCTCAGCCAACGTGGGGCAATTTAGTTAGGGCAATAAAGCAGAATTCATTTACGATCTTTATACTGGGAATTAGCAGAAAGAGTTAAATCCTCGTCCACTATTAATCACCAGTTTCGATGACTATTGACGGTCGACCAGTCTTCAATTTATTAGTCGATAAATCTTCGGTTGTTATGGCACCGATTCAGTGAACGTCATTAAACGGATTGAAGTGTCGACAGGCAGAAGGAGCCGCTATTTTCAATTTGAAATTCCTCGTTACCGTCCACCGGCCAGTTCGCTAATAGGCCGGAAGCCTCCAGTATTATACTTTGTAATAAAGATAAGCGTCAGGGCTATAAAAGAGAATTTACATCTATCGAGTATACCGTACCCATTGGATAAATAGTGGATAAATCGTAAATTTGGAAATACTTTTAACCAATGAATTAATCTACATAGTTCAAGAGACGTAGTACTTTAAAGTGAAATAATTTAGCGAACTTTAAAACAGCATAACTTTCGAACTATCAGGCTCAGGGCATACGTTCCTCAACACTTCTTGTATAGATCGAAATACTGTAATGGATGGTGCAATCAAAATTATAGGTTAACGTTTGAAAACATGGATGCAGTTGGATCGATGCATTTCGAAATGCAATTGCACTTTTTTAAAGAATGGTATTCTATACTTTTGATTAGACAGTTCGGTGCAGTTATTTAATCTCGACAGAAAAGTATTAGGTACTAGTACCCTGAATCTAATAGTTCATGAGTTATATTACTTTAAAGTTTAAAACTAAATTATGTTACTTTAAAGTATTATAACTCTTGAACTATTATGTTTAGGGCAAAAGTCCCTTATATGTATATATTTGTACAGATTAAAATACTGCATCGAATGGTGTAATAAAAATTATAGATTTCCACATGTAAAATGAGGTGCAGTTCCACCGGTGCAGTCAAAAAATGGAATTGCACTTTCTTAAAGAATGGAATTCTAAAATTTTGATTGAACAGTTCGGCGTAGTATTTTAATCTCTACAGGAAAGTATAAGGTCCTTGTGCTTTAAACTTAACAATTCAAGAGTGATAGTACGCTGAAGCGAAATAATTTAGCAAACTTTGCCTTGCGTGAAATAAAAACGGATGGTTGTCACTCTGTTGATTGTCGTGGGAGGTAAAGTTGCTGGAAAGCTCACAATACAGAGCATCGAACGGCTGGTACTTGTAAGGATATCTCAATGGGGGAACTATTTCCGTTTCAGGTGCGTGCATAAACGCAGACTATCGTCGTATCAAAACCATTTGGAGCGCACGAGAGTGCGGGTAATGAATGCCACGTTGATGAAATCGCGGCCAAACCGGCTGCTCGAACTGTCGATGCAACGATTCTAGAACCGCACAGTGCATCCTGTGTTTCAAAACCGTACGCAATCTGCTCCAAACCGATTGGTGTTTCACGTATCCGTTTGTTACACTTCTTAAAATGTCAATAATTATAATCGTTTGCTTTGAGGAAAATTTCCCGTGATTCATCGACCTTTATCATTCTGTGAAACAATTTTTTCCACAAATTTTATGGATAAAGATACAGATAAAATGAACTAAAACACGTCGAAAGTATATTGAATCAAATTAGCGCTAAGGAAACGTTTCACAATTTTTACGATAGACATTTTAAACTTTGTGTAAATTTTTTAGTGTAGCCAGTGTCAAGTTGAATCGAAACAGAGATCTCGATTGTATATATTTCTTAAAATATCTGGAACTCGCTTAACTATGTTTATTTATCAATGATCCCGCTGTGCCTGTTCGATCTACATTCTTCCTAATACCCTCTTGAAACTTCAAATTTTTCACGTATTCGATGACCTGTAGCACACACGATTAGCATTACTTTTACTCGTAATAAGTACTTCGAACACTCCGAATATAGGTAAATCTATGCGTGTAATTCCACTATGAAACAATCTATAGTTTGAAACAAAAAAAATCGCAACGAAGAAGAAATTGGAAAACATACTGTCGTATTGCATTACGTCAAGTTGATCAACTTGACGTAAAACGAACAGTGAAACCGTCTATTTCCAGTCGGACGCCAGATGCCAGAACTCCCTCGAGAGTTAAAAATTTGTTTTTAGTAATCGCCCCCGGAATGATTTGTCTTCAAGGACTTGAAACCGCGCCGCCACGAATCTTTTAAGTGAAACGAAAACAGATCCGCTGACAGAACGTACTGATCAAACAAGCTAAACTTATCCAAACAGCTTCCAGTGCAGAGATGCCAGACGGAGTGCCCCGGGAGCACCGAGGACACCTCATTCCACTTTCTCACACTATGCCAGATCACGCGTACGTGAACTCGTGGAGTTTCGGAAAGTCGACAAACGCAAACTGATACATGCCCTCTTTATCGATTCTCCGAAGCTGCCTGAAGTGATTTTGGACCGTTTCGTGGGAGTCGACAGAGAAAGGCTCACATTTGCCTTCTCGTAATGTGCATAACAATCATATGAAAAAGTTAAATGAAACTAACAATTTTTCGATCCATTATATTTGGCACGTCAAATGTACGGAACGAACTACTTCTCGACAAGCTTGCGCATTCTGGTCGACGATAGCGGTGTAGTCCATTATAAACTAGCATGTACTTTTGAATTTTCCTATAGGCCTCTGCTGACCACTGATGACCACTCCTGATACTTCGGACAACGTATTACGATTACTACGGGCTACTGCTAGTCACTCCTCGCCTCTGCAAGCCTCTGCTGACCACCGTTTATATTTCTAACAACCTATAACGATTACTACTGACTACTGCCAGTTCCTCCCAGCTTCTGCTGACCGCTGCTGACCACCGCTTATTTTTTGACAACGTATAACGATTACTACTGACTTCTGCCTGTCTTTGCTGGCCTCTGCTGACCGCTGCTGACTACTCCTGATACTTCTGACAACGTATAATGATTACGATTGACTACTGCCAGCCCCTCCCAGCTTCTGCTGACCTTTGCTGACCACCGCTTATATTTTGACAACGTATAACGATTACTACTGACTTCTGCCTGTCTTCGCAGGCCTCTGCTGACCGCTGCTGACCACTCATGATACTTCTGACAACGTATCACGATTACTACTTGCTACTGCTTGCTCCTGCTGGTCTCTGCATGTCTCTGCATCTCTCTGGTGCCCTCTGCTAGCCCCTGCTGACCACTACTGACCTTTGTTGATAACTTCTGACATGATATATATGTATTAAAGCTTTGTATAATGTAAATTTATAGCAATAAATGATATAATTTCAAAGAATTCTATGTGTTCTGATCATTTTGACCCTTCTTTTCCACTCCAAATCATTCCCTTAGTTATAAGAAACCGTTTTCTAGTTAAACTGAAATCCCAAAGCGTACAGAACATTTGAAAAATGCTCGTGACCTTGACCCACTTTTGAAACTGAGTTAAGGCCAAATCCGGATTTCCAAAATGCCCAAAAACGTTATTTGAAATACCGGTGACCTTGACCCACTTTCGAAATTGGGCTAAGGCTATCCGGATTTCCAAAGTGTCCGCAATTTATCTAAAATTCGAATAACCTTGACCTTGACCTTGACCTTGGCCCAATTTCGAAATTGGGCCATCCGGTTTTTCAAAAGTGACCGGAATTTTTCTAAAATGCTGGCGGTTTTGCGAAGAGTTGGCACGTATCTTATAACTAAGGGAATAATTTGGAAAGGAAAAGAAAGATAAAAAATGATGAGATCACACAGAATTCTTTAAAATTGTATTATTCATTGCCGTAGATTTACATTATACAAACGTTATTACATATATATCATGTCAGAGGTATCAGCAGTGGTCAGCAGTGGTCAGTGGAGGCCGGCAGTGGCTGGCAGTGGCTGGCAGTAGCCAGTCGTAATCGTTATACGTTGTCAAAAGTATCAGGAGTGATCTGTAGTGGTCAACTGAGGCACGCAGAGACCAGCAGGGGCAAGCAGTAGCAGGTAGTAATCGTTATACGTTGCCAGATATATCGAAAGTGGTCAGCAGTGGTCAGCAGAGGCCAGCAAAGGCATGCAGTAGCAAGTAGTAATCTTTTTACGTTGTCAGAAGTATTAGGAGTGGTAAGCAGAGGTCAGCAGAAGCAAGTAGAGATCAACAGAGGCCAGCAGAGGTCAATAGAGGCTGGTAGAGGCTGGCAGCAGTCAGTAGTAATCGTTATACATTGTCAAAAGTATCAGAAGTGGTCAGCAGCAGTCAGCAGGGGCCCGTGGAGGCCAGCAGGGACAAGCAGAGACCAGTAGAGGTATGTACAGACCAG